ATGATGAGTTCAACATGCAGTGACAAATGGAGGGCGGAATGAGAAAGAACACCCTGAAATCAAATTGAGTATGGATTGTTGTGGCCTAGATTTATAGCTCTGGGGTATCCCAAACCTGGAAGTCATAAATTGATGCAGTTGAAATGGGGCGTCAGTGGGGGATTGCAGCTATGATTCGTTTACTGCTCGTGTTATCGACGGACTATACAAATGGTGAGTCATTGTTGTCCCACAACAGGGCTCGTTAATAGAATATACACAGACAGAAGTTAAAGGCCGTGACAAATCGGCCTCTGCGGACCCCGTGGCTCAGTGAGGCAGGAAACAACCACATACCTGCACGCAGCACAAAGCACCACTCAGGGACACCGACGCTGACAGGGTGACAGCCTGGGTGGGACCGGTACATCGGTCTGCAGGTAGCATTGTGGATCTATTGGTCTTTCAGGAAAAGTTACCAGTGTGTTGTGAGATGGAGCTGATAAAATGTGAGTAATTACATCGACTCTCTGGTGCAAAATTGATTAATACGATACACTAAAAGATATATGAACAGAACATAAAACTGTCATTTTATATTGTGCTTTTTATTTTTGATGGACGGTGTTGGTATCCATCATTTTGTTCTGGCAATATGTTTCTAATATTCAACAAATCCCATACAATATTGCCTGTGTTTCCAAAACCTGATGTATGTTCTTCCTCTGCGCCATCATACACTCACTAGAGCACTAAATGTGTGTTAATCCACGAATGTTCCCAACAGCGCACTATTTCACCCTGTTTGATTAACATTTACTAAAAACCACAGTGCTCAGCTGTTGGAACTTACTGAACCTTTTTTTTTTTTTTTTTTTAAATGAATATATATTTGTTTTTTAAGATTTACATCTTCATTAAGAATCAGTGAGCCGCAGACAGTCTGAGTTATATTAATGCAAGTGTGTAGTACGTAGAATTATGAAGTGATTTAACAAATGTAAAACTGATAATAATAATGTATGTGTATCTGAGTAAAGTGAAGTCTGTGTGTGTGTGTGTGTGGAAAGAGCTGATGTAAGCAGGGTGGGGGCCTTAAAGGCTGAGATCATAACAGATGTTGGAGTGTTGTCCGAGCACATACAGGGGTGTAACCTGACACACACTCAGAGCATTGAGGAAGCCAGAGCATCCACAGAGGGAAGTTAGGTAGTTTCCAGAACACACACACACACACACACACACACACACACAGAAAGATGGATGTTGTTCGCAGCACATACACATAATCAATGATGTCATGATAATCATGTGCCGAGTTAGGAAGTGTTGGGGAGGGGGGGGGAGAGAGCCCAAAAGTGTTATAAAAAGAGACGGGATTGTGCTCCAGGGAGGAAACACTGGACTTCGACAGCCGCATCGGAGGACTTCGTCTCTGTTCACGGAAAGAAGACAGCCGTTCCTGGACAAAGATTGAAAGACGGAGATTTCCCTCTCCCCCCTGTTTGACTTTAACAACCGGACAACAGATGGACGCAGCCGCCCTAAAGACTTTGTACTGAGCCTGAGGGATCGCTGAACGGAGTTCGTTGGCCGCACAGGAGGAGCCGAAGGTCAGGCCTGGCCTTCGCTCCTAAAAACCCCAAAAGGACTTTTTATTACATCGTGAATCCAGCTCCACCGAGCCGCCTCGGCATCGAAAATTAATGAGTATAACCTAAGAAGAAATTGGAACCTGATCGAATCAAGTATAGTATTATTTTATGTGAGCTGTAGCTGTGCCCCTGCTAATATAACCTGCAATAAATATCTAATCTGCATTTAAAGTAAATTTCTCAAGAGAATTCATTTGCTGAAGTAGTAGAAGTTCCTCGTGACAGTAAAAGGTTAAAGCTATTGTATGTTAACAACAAGAGTTCTTAATGGTTATCCTAGTGACCGGTCCCTTACGGTCCCTTACGGTTTTAGTTATAATCCTAGCCGGTAAAACCTAACCTGGCAATTTACCAAGAGCCCGGATCCAGAAGAGGAAAGCTGCCATAACGGACGCGACTAGGTGCGCCCGGCCAGGGGGGCCCCTCGGCCGAGTGCACGTTACCAGAGGAAGCAGGGTAGACGTCAGGAGTAACGGTAGTTAGCAGAAGCCAGGCGAGTTTCCTCACAGAACACCAGCTCGCCAATCTTTTAATAGAGAGCTGAGTCAGTAGGTAGCCCCGTATCAGGCCAGAGAACCCCCGGATCTAACAAGAGAAATAAAAATAAAATGTTAACAGTTTTAACCAAACAACATCTTTTCCATTCTTTAAAAAAAAAGTAGGATGCAATAAACCTTCGTATTTCAGAATTTCTTTTGCCAAACAAAGGACATTTCTGTTTTTCCTCCACAGCGTGAGATCTATTTGTGTAGTTTCTGGCAACTATCCCATTGATTATGATAACATCTTATCTCCTTGCTGCCACACTGGTAGACGAGGCTTACCAACTCAATCCAACAGGGCAGCATAATCAAATCATCAGACAGATTGAAAACAAGTGCACATTTTTGGAAGTATCTTAAATGTTCATGGTTGTAAACGGCTTATGACAATAACCAAAAAACCCTGAAGCAATATAAAATAATACAGTATTATAGCATTGCATGGATTTTAACATCACTAGACCTTACGTCCGTTGAAAAAATAAATCCTCTCCACAGTAGAGAAAATATCTCTGGCGGTTCCAAGGGGTGGCAGCTGTCCTTTAAAAAAATGCTTTGCCAACCCAGTTGAACAATCCAATTTAAAATTCATAGCCTTTTATATAAAACGTTGTGGCTGATCGGAAATTTACACAAGCAAAACTCTGATGTCCAAAATGTAAAAGAATGCAGCAAGAGATTGCTCCCCGCCCCTAGACTCCACAGGGAGAGAGGATTTGGGGTAAACCACCGATTTCACTTGCGCCACGCCGTGCTGCAGGTCCGCCTTTTATAGCCTCTCCCTGTCCTAGCACGACCTCAATGAATATATATTTGCATGCATTTTGTTTAGTAATCTTGACTCGTTTTTGATTGTGTGAGGGACGAATCGAACCTAGCTAAATACTTAACAGTGCTTACAGGTGTCTCCGTATTGCCTGCAGCTATCTCTGAAACTTCCACATTGTAGATCTGTTCAACATGCAAAAGGGCCCAGTTTGAACAATCACTCGCTCCAAGCCCCAAATAAAAAGCCATTCAGCAATGCAGTGATGGTTCATTCAAAGCTTACTACCTGAGAGGGTCAAATTGAACACATTAATCTAGATTTATTTTAGAAATAGCATGTTAGGTAATGTAAAATAAAGCATCTAATTTAATGACCTGTTATGGCCACAATTTAGGCTGAATGTACAGCAAGAAAAGACATGTCTTTATTTCATTGAAAATATGTCTGTAAACTTGGAAATAAAACAATCAATTTATTACTGTCACCTTTTGGTATTTGTATATATAATGCTTGACTCATGCATCACAATAATGTAATGTTTCTTTGGTTAAAATGTTTTCATATGTGGGCTTTCCCAAAGAAATATTGATATATGTGATATAATTGTAAATACTGTATATATAGATGATCCAGTCTCAATCAAGTTCCTTAGTCTCGAGATGAAATGTCACATTTTTTAAAAGTGCAATAAATATTTTATGTCTGAAAATGGAAAAGGTTAAACCACACATTTGTGGTGTGAGAGGGAAATGTCATAATTGATAGCAATACTGACCAATGTTGCAAAACCAACACAAAGAGTGAAGATAATTATGCAAAAGGAACGTTTTTATTGTAACATCATATCTGTTTACAATAGTACTATACTATATATATATATATATATATATATATATATATATATATATATATATTTGTATTTATATTTTTACATAGAACACAAGCTACTAAGGAATACATACAGTACAGTCAGCAACATAGAAAAATATTAGTAGTATTGGCACAGATGTAGTATTTACTATACTTTACATGTTGTACATTCAGCAAAAAAAAGTGCAGAATGAAATAAATACATGATCCTCACAGTGAAGTCAAACGTTTTTTAACATTCAGTTCAAATACATGAAAGATGTTCTAGCAATGAGCAGATCGCACGTATCCTTTCACTCGCATGCAGCCTCCTCCAGCCTACACACACACACACACACTAAACAGGAACAGGACTCTCAGTAAAGGGTAATCAAATACAAAAAAGGTTCAAGTCAGCTAGTTTTGAAGGTTGACAGCACTTGCAAGGATCTATTGGATTTGTGAATTACCTCTGAATTCACTCTCCGTAGCATGACAGCAGCATAAATGTACAGTTAACACTCTCAGACACATATTTTGTCACACGAAATAAAAACAAAAATACATTTTCTGAACAGAATGGAGTTCAGCTAAATGTCTATACAATTCATTTTGATCTAATTCTGTGCCTTCGAGTGAAACCTTCTACACAGAGCCATCCATCTCGTGAAACAATTTCAAACCCGTATTTGCCCTTGAAGGGGCCAATCTCAATAACGCAAACACTTTTTTCCCTCCATCGATTCCAGCTGACCCCTTTGGGTAAACACGCATGGCCCTAAACGCAAACAAGCTAAAGCCTCATCCATATACAGTATGCGTTTGTCTTGTGGGGGAGGTTGAGAAATGATGCATGATGCATGGCAGCTCCCACAGATCGCTTACGCAGCTTTGCTTAGTGGCTTTTTGCAGAACAATCTCTGGGTCCTGAAGGAGCCAATTTGATTAGAGTCAATCATGGTGACATGCTGCTTACTGTGCAGCGCCACAGCAATGGCTCCGGAACGACAAAGATAATTCATCCTTTGTACTCTTTGAAGACGGTACAATGCTTGAATGGCCGAGACGGACAGCTCTGGTGTGTTTTTACAACAAGTGCAGGATGCGACCTTCAGATCTAAAGAATTAGGGCATGTATAAAACTAAATAAGCACATGAAACATAGCTGTTTTGACTTTTTAAAGCTAGTGGAGGTTGATTCAAGGTTGTCAATAAAGTGCACTTGCCATCAAACCAGTGCAAAGGTTATATATAGCTCTCTGTATGTACATAACTACAAACGCAGCAGATGCGCTACCATCGCTGGATATGAGAGTCTGTGGCAGCACTATGATGACAGTTTTTCTAATGTCTAAATGTAAACAACATTTGATGGACAGCTTAGTGATTAGGGAAACAGTCCTCACCCAGTTTGCTGGAAAAACACAACTCTCGTGTCACGCTTGAATGTGACAGCAAATGTTGTGGAGAAAAATATTCATACATTTGCTTGATAGCTGATGAGATGATCAAGATATGGCATCGGATGTGTTTCGGGAACACGAGACGGTGTCTGCTACGACAGAGCCTCCCTGCTTTCATCATGCATCATATTGAAGTTGGTTTATAGAACATGACAGTGCGTGAGGGAGAATCTTGGCAGTAGGTCTGTATTACGCACAGGCATCCAGTTTTCAAGAAAACAAAAGCAATGACACCCTGATTTAAGCCATTTAAAAAAAATAATGAGTGCCTCATGAAATCTATCCCCGTGTAGACAATTTTAATCTTCAATTTTAAAAGGCTCATTAGGAAAGAGATGGTCATTAGACTGTAATATTGTACTGTATAGTCATGGATAATTAGTTTCACATTTTATGTACAGTAGATTTGCTGTTAATTATATCGGTAAGCTGTCTCCCTGTCACATGATTTAAAAAACAAAATGGAAATCATCTTACTTAAATGTGTTAAAGTGGTATTTGCTTCAATACTGTCAGTTAGTCTATCAAGAAAATTGACCGTTTGCTAAACCCCACCCTTGAATAGCCATTGTAACGACGCAATAAGACTGTAAAGCTTTGGATTTCAACATGTTAGATTGACGTACATGGTTAGTCGTTGGTGCTTTGTCTGTCAAAGCACTTTGTAAACTCTGTTTTTAAAGGTGCTATATAAATAAAGTTATTATTATTATGGCAGTATACAAAGAGAGAGAGTTAAATGTGATCCGCAAACATTAGCATGTCCAGCTAACTAGCTTTGTACCTCCAGTGGTAGGCTAACCAAGCATTATTCCAAAGTTGAGGAGCACATCGTTACCTAACTAGGTTGCATTACGTGGGTTACAGCTTACATTGCAAAAAGCTCTGCTTAGTATTTCTCTTTTTTGTGAAGCTGGTCCTGAATGCTATCAGAGTTTCGGCTAACGTTAGAAGCTCTTTATTGGAGAAAGAGAACACTAAGCCAATATGGTACATTTGCAAAACTCAGTTCTCATCCGACAAGCCTTTTTGTTTTTAACGTTAAGGTTAAAATACTGCTTGAAAATACAAACATGTATCGAATAATTTAGAATGAAATTACTGTCTGATCCTACATCTTTCTGTAATTTAGTGTAGTCAGCCTGAAAAAGTGTGTGTTCCACCAACTCATGTAGCTAACAATAGCTAGCTAGCTATAGCTGTTATAATCTACCAGCACAAGTTGTCATTTGAAACAACAGAACCAAGAGGAATAACTCTTACTTTTGTCTGCTTTTGTCAATGAATTATTGTTCCAAAAATTACTATGAATTTTGAGTGGTAATCTTCCGTATTACTGGTCTGGTAAGCTTGACAGGCTTGGCAACAGTAACGTGCGGAGGGTGGGACTTGGCAAATGCTCATTTTCATGAACTTATTCAATCAACCCTTCAATCAATTAGTGCAAACAATCAATTAAGAAGTGAAGGCTAACACAGCAGCTAGAGCCACCTGGTATCAAAGATACTGTATTGCTCAGTTTTGCTGAAACCACTTAGCTAATCAGGATCAATGAGTTAGATCAAACTGATGCACGTGTGTGAAAAAACAGATATCCGCTATACTGAATTATTGGGGTTACATGGAGTAACACTTTTGCCTCCATTGTATACTTTCATTTGATAGATTTGATGATAACAACACACAAACAATCACATTTAGATGGACTACTTACACTGTAGATACATACATACAAAATAAATAATTATAAACAATATATTAATTTTTGTATAAAGGAACATATTTGTACAACAAAATACTTCATATACAATCAAGGGGATAAATGCTACCCATCTATTACCTCGGCTCAAAGTACAGTTTAAGACTGTTCAGATCAAAGGTGTAACCCTTGAGGAAGAATTCAATCAACCAGCCATTCGGAAGCCTTGAAACCAACTATAAAGGGAAAGTAGTTAAATGCTTTGGACCACAATTAGTATCTGTTTTGGCTGACTCTGGTTATTAATAAGGCCATAAAACATCTACAATTAATCCTATGATAAATGTCAGATGTTTTGTTTTGCATGGCTACATGTCAAACTCAGACTTCTGAGTTAGTATTTCAGTCACAATACACTGGTCTTTTTTACAACAGCTGCTAGCAAAGGGGATAAACAGGCCTTGCCACTTGGATACCGTTATATACATTTAAGATATTGTACAAAGTGAAGGTAGGACCTTATCCTCCAATTCAGCTCCATCAGCCACTGAAAGGTTCTTTCCTGTAAGCTTGCAGTACTAGCACCTTTACTTGAAGTAGTTGAGCCCTGCCACTAGGAAGAACTTCTCCAGGAAAAGCTCAGAGTCCAAGACAGCAATGTGGGCCGCACGCCCAATCAAGGTGTTGGCTGTGTTGGGCAGAGCGTGGAACACATTCTGGCGGATCAGCCGGCACTCTTTAGCCTCCATAAGTGGCTGCAAAAGGTTGCTGATCATCTCAGTGTAAACGGGCCCTTCAGTGAAAAAATTAGGAAGGATACGGTTAGTCCTACTACTTAAAACAATTTTGCATCCAAATCCCCCTGCTTCTAATCTTTAAACTAAGCTAAGCCAACCAGCTGCTGGCTGTAGTTTATATAAACCTTGGAAAATATATATTTTTTGTTTTCAGAAGGCCATAAAGAAGTTTGGTGTATTCAACTGTCTTCATGGCTGTAGTGAAGAAGTGTTGTGCAGGTGTAGGAGCCATGATGCACTTTAAATTAAGCCTACAACTGACAGCCAAATGATTTAGTAATATCAGCTAGACAGCAATATCGATCTGAAGCATGCTAATATTTACTAACATTAGCCATCATAACCTACTGGTCGTACCAGACAGAAAAGAGCTGTAGCAGCAATTCAATTCAATTAATTTGCATAGCCCAAAATCACAAATTTGCTTCAGAGGTCTTTACAATCTGGACAGCATACAACACCCTCTGTCTCGCATCGGAACAGGAAAAACTCCCCTTTAACGGGGGAAAAAGGGAGGAACCTTAGGGAGAACAAGAGAGTAGGGATCCCTCCCCAGGAAGAAGCGGTCAGAAGTGCAATAGATGATGGGAAAAAATGAGGGTATTCAATTGTGCAAGGGTGCATTTTATTAATTATGAATTTAACTTGTAATTTGAAAGAGGAAGGACATCTTATTTCTTCTTTAAAAAATGACAGTGTCAGTTTAAATAATACCAGTCAGTTTCACAGAGTGAACTTTACAGATACGATGGTAAAATATTGGTACTCAATATTCTCATAGATTATACAAGAGAAAAATGGGATTGTTGTTCTGAAATATCAGAATATATTGTAAATATTGAAAGGTAAGATAGTCCAGTTGCATTAATACATGCACCTCTAACCTGTGGTCCTGTCTTTGAGAGCGGTTTTGCACATCTCTATTCTGGCAGAGTGGAAAGGAACATATCGGTCCTGTGGAGACGCCACCAACACCACGTTCTTGAAGAACTGGAGCCCTAAAGGGACACAAAACAAACAAGTAAATGAGACACCACAGTGTATGTCCATGTGGGTGTTCGAGAGAGAGAGAGAGAGAGAGAGAGAGGGGAAAAGAGTGAATTGGTTGTAAAACACAAAGTACAATCACAAACTACAATGACAGGCTTGATATGATAAAACTGTGTATTTTCTCAAGTCTCCTGTCAGTGTGCTTTTAAGAGAGTGCGCTGGTGGGTTTCCAATGACAGGGTTTGGATCATTTTGTCAGCCTGCCACAGCTCTGGAGGGGTAAAATAGTGTTTTCAGGCTTATCTTCTTCAAGCCTGTGTGACAAACGACTGCTTTGTTCTACTCAAACAGTGGGGAGGCCTCTCACAGGCCTCTCGCAGCTCGCTGGCAGGGGTTTGAGTGTTAGTGAGCTGACGCGTACAGAAATTTGACAAAAAGGACAAGATGACAACATTTTCATGAATATTTGAATAGACTGTCTTTCAAGTAATAGTTTGTAAAGTGAGGCAGTCAATATGCTGTCTGTGTTTCAAATTCATCCGCTTTCAGACGGTACCTTGTTTCTGACTCAGGAGATAGAGGAATGTTTTCCGTGGATCAACGTGGTCTCTGAAGGTGAGCTGCAGCAAGGATCCTGATTTCTTCAGCTTCTGCATTAACCACAGACCTAAGCAGCACACACACACAAAGACAATCGGGACCCCTTCTTTTTCAACCCCCTGCACAGTAGCAGCACAGTATGGATGATATTCTTGGATAAAAGATGCTGCTGAGGAGCACAAAACATCGAAATGCATGGCTGTACAGCATTGTAAACACGGCACATCTGCAGTGTGCGTCTTTTTTCTTTCCCACTGCGGCGCGGTGGCCTCACCTGTGCTGACCAGTGTGCTGTTGTTGTACAGCGTTCCCAAGTGTGGGCCGGACAGCGAGAGGAAAGTGTGCAGTTTGGGCAAATAGCAGCGGAAGCGGGGCCTCGTCAGCACGGAGCGGATGATGATGTTCCCCAGAGAGTGGCCGATGAAGCTGTTGGTCGAAGACAAACAACTTTCAGGGAGATAAACTTGCAACTTGAGTGGGTGGCTGGAAAAACAGTGCCTCCAACACTGCTGACCTACGACACTGTGCGATATCTTCTTATAGACTATTCTGTATGTAGGAACTAGTTCCAGCTGAGGATGTTTGGAGAGTTCAGCTACAACATCGGTAATTACAGAAAATTCATTAACTTGTTTAAACATTCTCAAAGGCAATGACAACTTAATGATACTAACATAGAGGACGTGCCACACAAATGACAGTCTTCCCAGCGGATCCACGGAGCTATATGTCTGTCACTTAGTTTAATTACTGTACTGTTAAAGCTTTACCCAAAATCCCTCATTGCCATGTGGGCTCCTTCTCATCTATCTTTTACCAAACTAAATCTAGACGTAATGTAGAAAGAACCAGATGCTGTTGTGGCAGTCAATTGCTTTTGTCTTTGATACTTTCTCTCTTGAGAATAAATACACAACAAAGAAAGTTAACAAACTTGGGGAGAATCTCTCAAAAAAAAATTAATTGCCACATTGAGGGCAATTAGGCGGGAAGATGAAAAGCTTAATTTGATGGGAACAAGGCGACACACTGCTGCATAAGGGACTACAGTCCATCATGGGAGAGTCAGGAACTTATTGGCACTGTATGATAAGAGCCTTTCATCCATTTGGTGCTATTTATCCATTTTGGACTCGTAAAGTCAATATATTATCCTGAAACTGTAATATACATGAGTAAAGCATTCCAAATACCGATGTGCAGTCTCTGCTGCCATCTACTGTCCAAACAGAATGCTGCTGCTGATTGCCCCTGTTCTGACTCTGCCTCAAATGATCAATCAAAATCAATCAAAAGGTGAGTTGTCGGTAATGTGCATGTTGCACAGCATTAAAGTTGAGCGACTGACCTTATCCGGCCTATGGTGAGGTTGTACAGCTGGATATGCTGAATGATCTCATCCAGCAACCTGTCCGTCATGGTGTCGAAATCTGCAAATGTGTCGGTCTGCAGGGAAACGGCAGGGAAAAGCACGGTCGTCAGCGCTCTACAAAGTGCCTTAACGCACTTTCACAAAATGTGACTGTACATTCTAGCGATTGACTCCCATCTTCAAATGTACCTGGTTCCTTTCAGACATGAGGAAGTCCAGTCTGGATCCTGGCAGTCCCAACTCAATAAAAGTCTTCACCAGCCGAAGGTCTGCGCTGTTTCCTGGAAGCAAAGAGGAAAAATTATACTCACTATTTCTGGCACATTAATCATTTAAGTGACACCTGGAATTAGTATTCACAGACTACATAGTGTGAAGTGATATTTTGTAGGACACACTCTCAGAGACTATATTACATTTGCAATGCTAATAGGGCAGAAAACAGGATGTACAGTATGCGGGAGATGTGTCTGTTTAATAGCTATTACTTTCTTGCTGTGGAATTGAACAGCGGTGAACCATAACCTTCAGCTGTATGAGGACTTACCATCAAGCCCGTGGACACACACCACAAGGTGTATGCCGTCATCAAACTCCTCGTCATCCTCCTCGGGGGGGAAATAGGGCAGGTCTGATGCCAGGAGAGAGAGGTCGCTGTAAAGGCTGGCTTGAAAGCTCAACTCTTTGAGCAGCTCGTCTTTGGCTTTGTAGAAACTGGAGAAAAAGAAAATGACATTTGAAAAATGTCATTTTCATTTTGGTATATTAGCAATAACTTGACAAAGACCTTTCCATTAATGTATATGCTATCTAAATCTAAGATATTATTTTCTAGAGTAAGCTTCTATAAAACTAAAAGAGAATCACTCCGACAGTTCTCTGCCTTTTGTCTAAAATATCTTGGACAGCCTGCTTCGCATTTTTGTATAATATCAGTTAACATTGCCCACTTCCGAGCAAATCAAGGCTTTTAAGTCCCACAGATTTACAAGTAGCTCCTCTAAGTTTTAGTACCCTTTCATCCCGCCAGGTTACAGATTTCAGCTGTGGAGGAGTCAAAACAAATCCGATTCCAGCTCCTGTACTTTCAGCTAATCATGATGGATTTGTCTGCACACTTTGATGTGATTTAATGCATCAGGAGGCATTCCACCTCGTCTTGACTTCCTCGCTTCGTATTTGCCCTCACTTCATTTTGTTATGCCTGGCTTTCCAAGCATGAGTAACTGCCAGCTACCGCACCAGATGTCAACAGCCGTCTCCACATAAAACCCATAAAACCTTGTCTTTTGGCCTTGTTTCCTGTAGTTGGTGTGGATTATGATCTCAATCCTAAAAAGTTTTTCTTGGGAGATGGCCTGCATTTGCTGATACATTATTTACTGATACACACAAAAGTCAGAAAGGCATTATTTTCACCTGCCTGAACACAAATAACTAATGCAGCCTTCATGTCCAACTGAAAGTACAGGGGCCAGCCCTTTTTGCGGTCATAAATCGGACTAAAAAGGGGCTTTTTCCAAATATTGGGGTTCATATTTTTGTATTATGGAAAGTCCAAACTGTCCAAAATGCTCCTTTAGCCTGCACATTTTAAGTGGACGGGCCAGTGGACGTGTTTGATTGAAAGCTGAGTGGACAAGGGCACTTAATGTAAATAAACTTGCACTGGTAAATATAGCTTATAAAGCTAATAACTCAATTGGTCCAATCCAACCAATTTTGACATGTGCAAGTAACTTGAAGATGTTGAAAGCGCTTGCAGAATTATTATTTGTTTGCTATCTAGTCTGCTAACATTAGCACTTTAACCCTCTCAGATGTTTGACTGGTAGCTTAGCAGCCAGCTCAGGTGTAACAAAAGACATGTGTCCGTGCTTGTAGATAAGCAGAGACATTAGCGAGGAAGCTGATGTGGTTTACAGTTCAGAGTGTGTGACTCTTTTTGTTTTGTAGTAGGCTGCTGTCTGGTTGTTAGTCGGTGTCACAGAGATGTAGTTGTGCCTGTTCATGCACACACAAAAGGGAGACAATACATTTCTTCACTTTTTTCAAGGGACCACAGGAAATTAGATTTACATGGGAGTCTTGTGTGGTAAGCAGAAAATAACATGCTATGTAATTTGAATTGGGGTTTAACACACATTTACAGCACAATTTGTCCTAAACTAACACTAAGATTAGCTCCAACATAAACTCACTTTAGCATTCGTTCGTTGGTCTCGTCGTCCATGTTCAAGGGATTGAGCGAAGACGAGGAGATGATACCAAAGGAGCCCAGTGGCTGATGGGTGATAGGTGAGGTAGTCTGGCGAGCGGACATTCCACTGATGGATGGAGAGTCTCTTAGCGCTGAAGAAAATGGCAGGCAGGTCGGGGCACAGGACACTGACATGTTCACCACCTCCACCATCTTCTTATTCACGAAGGCCAGCCCTGAATTGGGGATCTTAGAGGGCTTAGTTTGGCAGTCCAAAGGCTCTTTCTCACTGGCTGACATCCCACTGAGGTCAACGGGTGATGCGATATCGTTGGCAATCAGCCCTGTAAGATCACTCGGCCTCTGTGTGATGGTACTGCTGGGGAGGTCATTGGTGTGTTGAAGCCCTAGAGGTGATCGGGAGGGATCCAGACACTTCTGGCCCTCAACACTAAGCACTTCAGTCTGAAGGAAACTTTGGCAATGATCTACAGTGTTAATTCTCTCCTGTGCCTCTGCACTTTTATGCACACATGGTTTGTTCCCACAGCTGCAGGGCACTGCTTCTGTTTCAACGAGATGCACATCCTCCTCTGAAGCGCTTACTCCACTGATGTGTGTTTGATGGTTCATATTCTCCCCCTGGCTGCCAATAACAGTGCTTCCCTTCACATGAGGGCTCTTTTCAGACTCTTGTAAAAGCAGCACTTCAGACACACCACTTAACGCTGACTTGGTTCTGTATGTCTTTGACAGGTTCTGTGGCGTGTTTGACTTTTCAGAGCTAATATTCTCTTTGAGGATATGGCCAAGATTTGACGTTGAAGTCGGATCTAACAAAGAGGATTCGGATTGCTCCAAATCCAGGTTGCTGTTCAAAGAAGAGCCGTTGATCTTCAATGAATCCTGGTTTTGCGCTAAACTCTTAGTATCTGTTTCCTGGTTGAGGAGCACATGGTCCTCCTCAGTGTCTTCAGGGCTGCTTATCTGTGGTGCCGAAACTGACTTAGTCAGTTTACTGAGCTTCCTCTGCTGCTGGTCCTCCTCGTAGGGCAGGGAGCTGATAGAAGTGAGTGAGGCCTGTATGCCTCCACTGCCGTTGCTCTCCATCTGCAGGCCTTCCAGAGAGCTGCGGTGGACCGGGTGGCGACACACTATTTGCTGTGGGATCTCCCGTTCACTGGAAAAGTCTAGAGGAGGTCGGCCTCGCAGTGCGGCCTCCAGGGGCCAGGCCACCGAGCTGGGCTCGCTCTCAATACCCGAGTCCGAAATAACTGAGGACGAGCGCTTCATGATCTTGGAGCCGATCAGGCATCCGCGTTGAGTCACCTCTTTTCTGAGATCACCGGGAAAAGGAGGTATAACTGGATGCGCATAGGCAGTGATGAGAGGAAAATCCTCAATCTCATCATCCATGGAGTGATTTAATGGCATCGCAATATCAGACTCCTCTTCATTATTTTCACTCTCTGTTGCATTGCCGTCATTTGTGGCATCACAAAGTAGGATGATATTTTCCGTTGCACGATGAGCAGGAGACTCATCACTGCTGTTATTAGAGTCAGTGAGGAGATTGTGGTTTGAGGAGAGAACCAGGACTGCTTCTTCTCTATATGGATCCACATCAGAAGGCATATCTGTGATGTATCCCAGGCCTGGATTACAGCTCTCTTTATCCTGGCCTTGTTTTTCTTCTGGTTCCTTCAAGTGCTCTGCCGCTGCTCGATAGGGTTCAGCAATGTCCTCGGTACGAATGAGGTTCTGGGTACTTCTGATATTGGTACTGGTCTTACTCTGCTCTGCCATGAGTGAGACATATGTAGGTAGGTCCATGCAATCATCACTGTCCAAGGGATCCTGGTGTACTGCTGGTGATCTGGGTCCCTGGTTGCTTTCAAAAATCCCATTGACATGAGAGGTGTTGGTATCTGAGTTGGTCTGGCCATCAGTGGTTGGCACATGTGATAGCCACTCTGGAAAAACAAGGGCATTGCAGTAAACCTTTTGTGATTTGGTGTATATAACTGAATATTTTCAGCCACTTTTTTATATTACCTGTTTGAGGAGACTCCACATATCTGTCCTCAAAGATGATGGGCAGGCTGTTCCAGTCTCCATCGATATCCAGGCACTCAACAGGTAAAGGAGGCATCTTGGTCAGGTAGTCTGAGCTCCGCACTTCTGTAGCTATCTGGCCATGTCTGTTGATTCTGAATCAGCAGAATAATATCATACACTTCTCTCCATTCATAGAATAAACCTCTTCTTTTCCTGAGAAGGCTAATACTTACAGTTCCTCTTGAAAAGTCAAAGATATCTCTTTGGAGTGTTCGGTGAAGAAGTATGCCTCTGAGAACCTCCTGACCTGGTGTTTGAAGAAACAGACAAAACTGTTTTCATCAGTCAGTCGAAATGAGTCAATCATTTCACTCATTGCGACTACAAAGGGAGAGAGAGAGATTCATATCACTGCTTCCAGTCTGTGACACAAGCTTGATCCAAAAAGCTTTCTCCTTCTCCAGCTCCAATTAGAAATGCATCATCCTTGAAAGTCAGCCACTCTGACAGGCAAATCAACAGGAACACTATTTCTGGTGTATTTTCACCCCACAATAATTACAGAACAAGTGTTAATTGAAATCCAAACTCCACTGGTAGGTAGAGGCATGGAAGTATCCCCTCGGGGTAATCAAATACCAAAGACAACTGAGACCAAACAATGCCACATAAAAGGGCCTTGAGAGCTACTCCACTGTGAAGCACATTATTCATATTCAACAGCCCAGTGATTGGACAGAAATTGCACTGGAAATTACATTAACTTGCTCAGCTGGGTTTGAGGTACCGTATAGAATGGCATTTTATTATTTAGTTAATTCCCTGTCCAGAGTTTGGTCAGTTTAACTCATAAATCTAGCCATTTCCTGATCAAACATGGAGGTTTCTTCCTCATTACAGCTGATTACATTTTCATTTTCACATCATTTAAGTGTGGTAAGAGACAAAAATTGGTCACGACATGCCTTAAGGAGACGCTCACAGAGCTAACATGTCAATGGTTATGAAACCATTTTGATTGTTCTGTAAATATTTTTGTATTCTGGTTTGGGTGCTGAGGCTCAATTTAAAGATATCAGCACATATCGTCATCATTGCACTCGAATATGGAGACTATCTGGCCTGTGGCTCAGAGAACACACATGAAATGCTGGCGTTTGAGCATTATATGTGCCTTTGATGGAGTGCCACTCTCACCCTGAGTGTGTGGTGCTCCTGGGCAAGATAGGAGAGGATGTGGGGGTTGAGAATAGCGGCCTCCAGGAAGTGGCTCCACAGAGCAGCCAGCTGGGAGCAGAGCTGGCTCACGTCCCTGCTGATCTGCTCCGCTACCCTCTCATGGCCTTCCTGGAGCTGATGGGGACAGAGAGGGGTCAGAGAAAAAAAGATCCCTAAAATACAGCATTCTATTCTAGGATCCTCGGTTTTCCTGCTGACATTTATATTTACCGACAATGTGTTTCTGCCTGACCTGTGTGTCTTTGGATCATTGTAGAAAATCAATCAATCAACCGATGCTGTTCTCTGTGTGAATGGCTTGTTATAGCAGCTGGGCCACCGTATCCGTCCACAAATAAATGTCACAATATATTCAGAGACTTGTTTTAACACTTGAAAGTCATGGTTGTTTAATGTCTCAATGATCCCCTTCACAACTTAACAGGACTTTAAGAATTTTAGTCACCAAATAAAATATTGTATTTATATCCATCGCTTTGAACTAATACCGTAAATTGAAATCCACTGCCCTACAGTATATAAAAAAAACAAATGCAGCAATACTTTATTTTTGTAATCCCTCAGCCCCAAACATCTAGATTAAGCCATTACATGTGTCTGTGCATATAATGAACTCCTTTGGTACAGCAGGAAGGACAACATAGTGATTTATTTTATACCCCTAAACCTGAAATAACAACAAACAAACAACATCAAAATATTAGGAAAAATTAGGAAACACAACTACAAAGAAATCATAACAATGTGAAAGTAACAATAGAGACAGAATCATAATCAGAGTAACTCCATCACAGGACAATGGAAACGTGGTTCTTTAATGTGTGGAATGAACATATACCTGTAACTCTGTTGTAAGCTGATTTAGAGTTTCGTCAACAGGCAGCACCTCTGTGGAAAGAAAAGTTATTTTGGAAAGTTATTTGCAGAGCTTAGTGCAAAGGATTTCACACAGTGTGTACCGAGCGATAACACAGGGTCACGACAGATTTAATACCAGAAAGTCATATATTTTATTCTAAAAATGGTTTCAAGTTGCCTGTTATTAAGAAGGCACATTTGATTCATATCTTTTGTCAAAGTGCATTTGAGTAATTGACTCCATATGAAGAGAAATTGATGCCACCTGGGGTTGAACTGGCATTTATTCCAGAGATCAACCCTGATGAGCCACAGAGCAGCTGACAAGGTAGAAAAGCTTTTGAAAGCCGGCAGACTGGTTGGTCTGTTTTTCCATCGGCAGGAAAAGGCCATGTGTTTGGTGTACGAGGGTTGTTCTCATAAATTGTCTGCAGAGGACCCTAAGTGATAAACCTAATGAAGTGGTTTATCTTCCCCCTTTTATTGCCGGTCTTAATAAATTTAGTTTCTCTGGAATATCCACGCCTGCATGGTGCTCCATTCTTCCCACTTACACTACCAACCTTCAAGTACAACAAGTGTTACTTAAGTAACAACATTACAATGTTGCTTAGTGAGTAGTAATAATTATTATTAATATTATTTAATATGTGATACTACTCTGAAAAGAGTCAATAGAAAAAGTGTATTTAGCTGGATTATCTCTTTCTCGTTTTAGCACTTTAACTTGGAAAACAATGTGAATATTTCTTCCTCCACTGTTTCTCACCATGTCCTGAATGAAATGTCAACATCAAGAACAAAGAAAAGGGTTGTTTGATGATGAAAACTATACTGCTCCCCAATGATTCCCAATAGACCGTGTCTTCTTTTCTAAATTTGAAGACCAGAAATAAAAGTTTGAATACTGAGCTTTGCATATGGTCACCTGAGTCTAGTGGAGTCTGCTGTAGCTGTGGGATTTCCTTCATCAGTGCAGAGTGGTAAGTGTGCAGGCCCTGGTGTGCGACCAGCAGGAGGCGACAGAGCCGCCGGTGCCACGTATGAGCTCTCTGCAGGCTGTTTTCACTGGGCAAATAAAAGCTCCCCTGCAGAGAAGGAGACACAGAGGAAATGTCAGATGCTATGTAGGTCGCTAGTCACAGAAACCTCTCAGAAAACAGCCTGCCTTAATAACAGACATGTACACATACTTGACATTTATAGTTCAAGTATACAGCTGCAACAGTTGCACAGGCTTGTCTCTGACCTTGAGATAAAAGGAGCGTGTTTCTGAATGGGAATTACTTGGAAGATCAAATACAATGTTAGGGACAAATGGACCCTAAACACAGCTTGCTGCGAGCTATAAAAGCAGATCAATACATGCATGTGGCCTTGGGAGGATGTAACGCATCCCTGTTATAACCTTTAAAAGATCACAAGTATAGGAAGTTGACACAGAATTCAAGGTGCCAATGTTCGTCCAGGGCTTGATATAAAAGAAACAAATAGCCTGGTGAATGTAAAATGATGCATATAAAAACTGAAAACCATACAATAAAACATTCAACAAGGCCAAGTGAGGTACACAACTGAAGGAAGCAAGCAGCTTGATGAGTCACATTTAATGAAAAAGACAAGAAAAATAATTCTGTAGCTCAAGTACAACCCCCCTGCTTTTGAGTGCTGATATGAGCTGTAATAAGGACCGTGTTTCCAGTAGATGGCTCTCTAACAGCGCAGTAGAAGAATTAAGTGAATTTCAACATTGCAATTTTCAATATGCATTGAGTGTAACACTGGTCCAAACAGCTGCAAATCACCAAGGCCTTGATACTACAATCATATCTCTTATTTATCTTCCAAAAGATCTAATGGTCTGCTACCCAAACAGCTATCATTGCACACACCAGGCATCACAGTGTGGAGCCAGGGAGCCTTGGATGTGACCAGTGACTGCCCTTGTCCGCTGGTCCCTGACTTGGCACAGTCTGCTCCAAGGTGACATCTCCTCATGGCTGTGATGTTTCAGCCGCGCCAGTGCGGCTTAGAGCTTTGAAAGGCATGTGATGCATGAGTAACTGGGGATGTACTGCAATTTGCCCCTAGCGAGTAAAGTCTCCGGCCCTATCATCACACCTGTGTGCGCTCTGTAATTGCAGCAGTGCAGTACAGCCGAACCAGGAAGGAACATCTGTATGTTTACTTTCATAATTCTTCTTACCCTTTATAGAGGCCTGCCTGGATCAGTCTGCGAGTGAGGGGCAGTGAAAAATAGCTATTTTTCAGTATCAAACTAGTAATTATCCTAAAATCATAGTTCATCTGTGCGCTGTAAATGTCTCGGATGTGCTTTAGTTGTGTGTCACCTGACATGAGAATTTCTGCTTTTGTTTGCTGCTGTTGATGCAACTTTTCCAATTCACCATCAGTTTGTTTAGACGCATAGATACCAGTATCTATGTGTCGAATCACTGCTGCTGTCAAAGGCGTTTTGTACAGGTAGACAAGAGCTTCTCAAAGGACAATATATGTTTGACATGATTTATGTGTGTTTATCTTCAGAAACATGATTTATTTACACTAACAACACCCAAGATTCTCAGCCGTCTCACTTCTAACAGCACCATGTTTCTCTTAAAATATCCTTTCCTACCACAGAGGGAACTTTGTCCTTCCTTTAGAGATGTAACAGCATATGTCAATGGATATCTACAACATGTGATTTTGTTTTTCAGAAATAACAACATAACACTTAAGGGAAATGCTGCGGTGTTAGGGGGGAAAGTGCTGAAAACGTTGTAGCCGCAGGTAAAGAGCTCTAAATAAATAAAGGTGAAGGAGGAGGCGGCATGCTGTGTAGATTTCACCTGCAGCTATGAAGTACGTGGCGCTTGCAAGCAGAACTCATTACTGTGATCAAACGAAGCCCCCCTGCTTGGCTAAACGCAGAGCTTATTAAAGTTCCCAGCTAGGGGTGGGAGTAAAAACCAGGAGGTGTGTTGGGGGGAGGGGGCGGGGGCGACCATGGCGCTCATTAAGATTTACAGTGTAGACACAGGGACCTGAGAGATGCATGTTATAAAAGGACAGAAAAAATGGAACCGACTGTTTTACAACTGTACACGACTTGGAATAATTGGCAAGCATAAGAGAGAACTAGAAATAATGGCAACGTAAAGAAAATTAAACTAAAATTATGCAAAATTACACGATGTCCACAAAATAGTCTAAACATGAGTTGTCTTTTTTTTTCCTCCACATAGAGTTTTCTGTGAGAACAAAGTACATAAAGTATTCAAAGCTTGATTAGAATTGGTGTGCAGTATGGGTTTGGGACATGCCATATTTTCCTGCAACGCAATGCAGATATGGAATGGAGGAGTTGCTCATAGCTGCAAAAACAAATAAATCAAACTGTGGATAGCTAAGTCAAACTATCCCAGAAAACTGTATTAAAAAAGGGTTAATACACAGAGCAATTCTAAAGTCGCAGTTCAACATCTGATAGCACTTCTATGGAAGTAAGTAAGCAGTTTATTGTAAAAGAATAGTTTGATATTTTGAGATAATACCATGTCTGGCTCTGCCTTCATATTCAGCATACAGACACGGTTAGTGTAGCTTAATATAACTGTATTTTCAGGTGCTGAAAGGGTCATGAAATAATTTAGTTCCTATAAAGTTAGACATATACTGTATAATCATGATTAATGATGACGATAACAGAAATTCCGTGATCAAGTATGTCCTCATGCAATTGTGACGCTTAACTGTAAATGGGCACAAAGGCATTTCTAGTGAGAGGTGCTAACACTTCCAGATGCTAAGCCTTGAGCCTGCAAGCCTAAGCAGGTGGGTTAATCAGATATTATTAAAAGCCATGGTGCAGCGCAGTAATAATCCCTGCGTTGGCCTCTGGTCTTTCAGCCTTAAGACTGCACGGAGCCCCAACAAATGACTGAATCTGGGGGGACAGACAGGTTCAGGATTAGTAATCCAGATCAGAATGACTCCCCGCTCAGCTCTTGGGCTGAATCCTGTTGCTTCTGGGTGACATGCCAAAACAAATCACACCTAAATCCATCGGCTTCTGTCCCTAAACCGAGATCACGTCATTATTATATGATTACGTCATCGCTTGACATTCAGCTACTTGCTCACAAAAAAAAAAGGGAACAACCAGCAGAACAGAGACTGGCTCATTATCGGGCTGTTTTCAGCTTTGTGAGACAGAACGGGTTTTGACTGTCTGTGACTTTCTATTTGAACGCAGCTGAACAGCTAAAGGTTAACATACCTCAGAGATGACAGGCTTGCAGTAGCCAGCTCCGAACACAAGGTTCTCTACCGACATGGCAGATGGGTCGCTCGGGCTCTCTGGCGAGCCCTTCCCCAGCCAAGAGCCCTTCCCTGTACGTGCAAAGCTGTAGAGAGAACAGGCAGGACACATGCAGGGACAAACCATGAGTGTGTGTGTGAATACAGATGAGCTGAGAGACGGGGGCTGCTACTGTTCCAATCAATCAGGTGCTGCAGTAATCTATGTAATGCATGGCTTGAAACTGAGTCTATGATATTGGTGGTTGAATTCATCAGATACGTGTTTGGAAATCTATTCGTTCAAGCAGCTAATGGATACACTTGTGAATGCCAAAACAAATAGGGAAGAGGAAAAATATGTTATAGCGGTTCATTCACTGGAGTTCTTCTTCTTCTTCAGTGTGTCCAGCTCTACAATTCAATATTGTATCGACAAGAAAGACTTATTTCCCATTGACCATTCACTGAAATGATGCAGTTGTCCAATCATTGCTTAGCAGCTATGCGTGGCAGGCCTGTCAAGCTTTAGATGTCTTTATTAGTTGAAGGCCTTTAAACAGTTTGGAAGGTTTTAGCTTTACCAAAAGTTATAATGCAAAAGTGTTAGGAATGGGTTTAACAGCATCTACCTGCTCTAACACAAGCGGCTATTATTAGGATGTCTTACAACCTGACTGAGCATTACTTCCACGGCCAACATGCTCGTCATTAACTAACTAGGATACTGCTACAGTTTACATTTTAAATAAACTTTTTTTTTCCAAGATTACACATGAACTAATAATAATACTTAATATTTTAGTAATATTACACTGTGTTTGAGACAGACCTGGTTTCTATCAGAGTTTAAATTAACGTTGGCGGCTCTTTCCAACGAATTCAGCTATGTTTAACAAGCAACACAGCTGCTTTTGTCTACCTCTGTCTGAAATCGAGGACTCAATGTTTTAAAGATAACAACAAATTTAAAGTGGTAAATCTGTTACTGTCGTCACTCTAAACTGGATATGTGCCATGTCAGATTGGGAAGCATGACAGGCATAGCAACAATGACTTAGGAGGACAGGATTTGACAGGTTGAGATCCTGAGATCAGATACCAGAAGGGTCTTTCTGCTCTGTGTGAATTCAAAGACCATTAAATGCAAATGTTTGCTCCTGTGAACTCTACCTGATTAGCGGCTGATGTAAGGCAACCAGTGAAGCATGTATGGAGACAGAAATGACGGACAAGTGGAAGTAGTCAAACATGACAGGGATGTGGTGGTGGAGGCCTCTCCGTGGGTGGAAGTGGAGGCTGAGGGTCCGACTGCTGATCAAGGGGACCGTCGCCATCTCTGCAAGCCTGAGGAATGGGAAGAGAGGGACACATGTTACACTCGCACACAAATGATTGATATTTTTTACATACAATTAAAATGGGTAATCTGCAGAATTCTTATTTTTGGTATTTTCCCCATCTTTAGTGCCCCCTCCAGTCCACCAATACTCTAACATTATTATTAAGGACCTGTAGCCTATATTGACCCTGCAGCTATAAAAGAAAGAGTCGGCGAGAAAGAGTCTGAATCTTGACTGGAATTGTAATGGAGACCTAGTAGACATTCTACAGTTATACAGACTCCAAAAAAAGCAGCTAGCGTTAATGCTATAACACAAGGGGCTCTATAACTCCTGTCCTGTGTAGTGTTGACAACTACTACACTCACACAACTATGACAAAAACGCTGAATTAACAGTTCAAACACAAACAACTACTAATACTAATACTTATCACTAATATGCAGCTGCAGGCCAATGAAAAAGCACAACAAAAATAGTGCCTTTTGCCATATGCTTAAATAAACTTACCATTTATTCTTCTATTTGTCCCAAGAAGATAAATCACAGTAATCGTGTATTGCTAGAACAGAAGTTGTGATTAGGTGCTTAAAGAGATGGCTATGAGCCAAAAGACATAATAGCCCTTATTCCTGCCTAGTTTGCATTCTCACTCTTGCATAAAAGTTGCACAAGGGGAAAGTGTAGTTTTCTCTCCCTATTTCTCTCCCTTTTAAACACACACACAAACACACATTTCCAAATTGCTTAAAAACCTACTGTTGCTCATTGTCGGTGAAGTGAAGGTCCAGCTTCAGCTGAAAGTCCACCTCACTTAAGGCCTCCTCCACCTGCAAAACATTGGTACAGTACGGTTGTTAATGCATGAACATTATCGGAACAAGGTGACATGGGGGGGGGGGGTGATAAAATCATGAAAATACCACATGGAAACTTAAATTGTCAAGTAACCTCATGAAAAGGAGACAAGCACTGCTACAAAGGTGTCCCGTTTTAGCTTGAATGCAAGTTTATACATTCGTTATTTGTGAGTTTTCGACAAGAGACAACAAATTGAGGTGCAAAGGGAAGAGATCCTTTCTGCTCAAGAAATCTGCAAAATACTTAATGGCATGGGAAACAGTCACAAAAAGTATGATTGCATAATAGAGTAAGGTCCAATGCTTGTTGACAATGATCCCCTCAAACATAGATTCGGATTGTCATTCAAACTAGGTGTTTTTTTGTTGTTGATATGATCGACACAATAATTGTTCATATTGCAATCTAAACCGGCAAGACAAGAATGCCAATATTGGATTCTGTGAAAACCTCGAGTATGTTCTTCCAATGCCAATAAATAAAGTTCAAATATATTGTGTTTATGGCTGGAGAAAGATTGTGCTGATGGCAATTATGATGGTGCATGTAGCAGCTGCGCCCGGTAGCTCCTGAAGTTTGCTAGAATTTGTTGTCTTTTCTGGAGCACATATATGACAGAATACACTCATCAAAGGGGCGAGAAGCAGACGTGGGTATTGGATTCCTTCGTGAGGAGCGCACAGTGAGAAGATCACCGTCCACGGCTAAACACCCAACCAGACCTGCAGGACCAAACGCCACTGAAAGCGGAGTGAAAAGTGAGGAGAGCTGAGATGGAAGCTAAGCTAACCCAGCTAGGACCAAAGGCTATTCCACCACCAGGCTCAAGCTGCACTTGACGGGGATCCCAGGAGAGCGCAGGACTCCGGGTGAAACTGATGAGACGGACTCCTCAGTTATGCATGCTGCTAAAACATAGTCAAAGTTGATGGATGGTGTTTCGTAAAATCTTGAATGTGAAGATGTTGGCAATATTGCCCAGAGAATTGTTTTGTTACATCTCCCATGTGTTGTACATTAGAAAGGGATCTGGTGACTGCGAAGGCCATAGCATATGATTCATACCATCTTTATATGCATCACTATACACAGTATGGTGTAGATGAATACTGCTATGTGGCTTAGAACCTAATGTGACCGGCCTTGTTTGCAATGCTGATTTAGTTCTTTTTGATGACGTTTTATGTTCTCTGTGTGATCTTCAACCTGATGTAAGTTGAACAGAATTGAATCGCTCTCATGATCAAAGAGCCATAGAATACCATGGTTTATGGAAATACAGAGAACCTATTTGAATTTGAAAAACAAAGTAGAAACATAAAGGGTATGAGCAAACTACAAAGGCGGTGCCATGAATGGAGTCTTTTTGAAGATTGAACAACTGTGTCGCTAATTATAATAACAGCACAGTTCTTCCTCTCGTTCTCCTTGCCTTTGTTTTTAAAAAGTACATGCACACTGCACAGCAAACATACGATTCTTTGCAGTCTCTTCCTTTATCGATGCTCTGATTAATCAAGTGTACATGCGGGTGTACACAGGGGAAATGAGGGGCTATTTTTGTCTGTGCTATCTGCAGCTGTGAGCGGCAGATAACCTCCGGAAGGTTAATGAGCCGTGAGCCTTCGGGAGAGCTTACAGCTGAAATCTGATATGCCTTACAAAGGTCCGCCGTCTCCACACCTCCACGTGGAAGTCTATGTTTAATGAAATCTTCTAAAATTAGGATTGGGCAGTCATGTGAGACAGACTATCCACATTCTGACTGGAGCGGGAATCTTGCCACAGTAATCGAGGCATCCATACTGTAGACATGTCAGAGAGCAGCTGAGCGACGGTGCAGGGTAATGTCATGGTTTGAGCTACGGCTATCATATGGATGATTAGCTTCGAGCTGCGGGGCCATCTTAACTCCCTTCACATCCCGGCCTCCAGACTGTCACAGCTGATCAATTTGAGCTGCGGTGGCTCCCAACAACATAAAACAGGCAGAGTGGCTTTTCGGGGTCGCGCCCATGGTGAAACCGTAAAGGACAGTACATCAATAACTGTCTGGCAGGTTTACACGCCTGATCATTTCAACGGAACATTTGTCTGTCAATTAAAGCACATTATTTCCAAGAAGCAAGTTGTTGACCTCAATAATCCTCATACTGTTTCTGTATCTGGAATGGTTAGCGCTGAATTATTTTCAAAAAGAAGATTAACTTTATCTAAACTTTGTAGCTTTAGAGACAGAGTTGGAGAATTAATACAATGTAATTTTGGTTGTCGGGGCCACACTTATCCCTCTTGGGGCCCTGAACACTATTTTGTATTAAGGGGTAAAAACTCAAGCCAATCATTTTACCATTTTTCCAAAACCACTGATATCTCTGGTTTAAAATAAAAATAAAAACTGCAACTGGATACGCCAGAGAAAGGATGGGCAGGTCCAGTCATTGCTAGGGCCTTTACACCCACCATGTTAGTTATTCATATTTCTTCCCTTCAAGGCCGGAGGGCTTCACTGGTGGGAAAGGCTCACCAACTGATCATCACTTTGCTTGCGCCTCTATTTAATACAGTTTCTGCCCTTTCCTAAGGGAGGAGCTATGCAGTGTTTGTGAGGCACAACAATCAATAGCTTCAGTCTGGGGGTCAGACTCTGAACCCCAGACTGAAGCTTGAAAGATAAATGAGAGGGGCTGCAAGATGATTAACGGGACAGAGGAGAGACAAGAACTTTTTTTTCTTACTTGGTAATCCCATATTTTCCAGACTTCTAAAATATTAAAAACCATGCCGACGAAACATTACTCTTAGGTTGAACACAATCACTGTAGTTACACGTATTTATATTTATATATTTATACGCACATGAACGTGACCCCAAGCGTTATTAAGCCGCCTTCGTCAACAGCTGTATCGTGTAAAATAGATGTATCTGTTCTGCTAAATACATAGCAATGTACAAGAGATTCAGCAAGCTTGCAACAATGGAAGACCACTGATCAAAAGCAGTCACTTGCTGACATTTCATGCCACTTTTAGCAAATGACAGGGCATTATTGCTGTTCTATTATTCAGCATAATTATATGACTTCTTCATTCCAAAGTTATGTTAGATTTCTGCTTTAATTAACATGCTTAAATCTCTGTTGTTTGTGTCAGATGGTGGTGGAGACCAACAGTGGATGATAAAGCTCATTAATTAATGGCCATTTAATTCAACTATCATACAGCTGTTTTTACTGTAATTATCTGTTGTGCATTTTAGAGCTACTGATAAAATGCTAGCAGCCAAATGCCATTCTCCATTCTATCTTTCTCAACAGGAAGTGTGTGTGTGTGTGTGTATGTACGTATGTGTACAGAAAATGTCACCAGCATGACTCACCCTTTCTCCGTCTAATAGCAGATGGACTTTGAAGATCATACAGTCATTCACCGTAATCTCTTCATTCCTGTAAAGGATCTGAAATATCCGACTGAACACGGTGCCGTCGTAAACCCCCGCAGAGCTGAAGCTGCATTCTCCTGATGTGGGACACACCATCATGCACAATTAAGACAAACAGCAATCAGTCTGTTGCTACAACAGTATCACTTGTTGAGATTTTACAATACAAAACAAACATGATTATTCTTTTTGTATCTTCCTACCCTAACTTATTTCTCTATTTCATTTCTCTATTTAGGTTTCACTCATTCATATTATGCAATATGCAAAACTGTATGAGAAATGATTTCACTGACATTAAAACGTTAAAAAAGGGAATACACTGCTCTTCATAAACCAAAATAAATGTAGGCCTTTCGTTTGGCAAATGCTTCCCCTGATAGATGCAGTGTGTGCTCAGATTTGTGAATATGTACCCAGATTGCATAATGAGGCTTGCGAATGTGTGACCTGACATTTTGCAAATGTTTACTGTGATTGGTGAGGGATCTGAGTGTGTATATTCAGATCTGGAAATGTGCTAAGATTTGTGAATATGTGTTTTAGCATTTCAGTCGTAGCTCACGATACTTCTAACTCAGATTCAATGTCCCTGCACCCTCAAGTTACTGAACCATCTAGACACCATAGCACCATATACATAGAACAAGTTATCACTGTTTGCTTACTAAATGTCCGTGCAAACAAGAAAGTGGGTAGTTATCAAACATGCATACATACACGTTCTACACATTGAACAATGATAAATCTAACCTATGATACACCTATCTGCTTGTGCATGGTCAGTCATGTTCCTCTCAAAGTCCTAGCAACCTGAACGTTTTGGGAAGTACACTTATTCTCTTTCTTGCTGGGAGCAGATGAGGTGGTGGATACCAGTCTCATATGTGTCCGTCAAATAAAAAGCTACAGCCAGTGTCCTGTTAACGTAGCTTAGCATAAAGACTGGAAGCAGGGGGAAACAGATATGTGTTACAATTGCCAACATCTCCCGTGTTGCAGCCTGGCTCTCCTGCTGTCCAGCTGCGAGCAGTGACAAGTCTTTGAACTCCCCTGCTGAGGTTGTGCTCGGTCTTACTCTCCCTCTCTCTGCAGGCCTCCTCCAGATAATGCTGCTACTACTTGCAGCCCCAGCCAGGATGATGGATGTGTGGAAGCGTGACATGGTGAATGTGTGACAGAGACAGCGGCAGCCCTCTGGGTATGAAGAATGTGACTTCGATATTATTGTTTTTCACATGTCTTCCTTGTGTGTGTTTGGGTTTCCCACCCACTGTCTACAGACACACAAGTTTGGTGGATTAGAGAACAGTAAACTTCGCAGGAATTAACATAAATTATTGTCCAGTGAAGGACTTGTGATTTCCCCCCAGGTGCTCCTGTGCTGGGTGGCCCTTCAGTGTGGCCAAAGGGACTAAATCAATGAAGTGTAGCTGCTGCATTTGCCCTTGCTACTTTCACACACTCACACACACACTGTACTTCCTTTGAATGCCAGTTTGTTTTACGAGATTGATTAAACGTTAAATCATGTGCAGAGTGTGTAGAAGTGATAAGACCCTGATGAGAAAGCTGCAGTGCTGAGATCTCGGCTTTGACATTGATAGCAATGCTGTTGCATAGAAGGGGAGAGCAGCACCTGAGCTATACAAGGCAGTCCAATACAACAGCCATACTTCGGGTCTACTTTTGTAAATATTACAATGTTAGAATTTAGTTGAGATGGAAATATGGTAATTTAAACTTTTGAGACTGTTTGAGTTGATGTTTCATTGAATTACTTGAAAGGCCCGAAACAGTATGGAACCCTGTAGAAACTGAAGGAAGTATCTCAAATTCATTTGTGAGAGGCTATGTGTGCTACAAAAATAACGATACTTAGCACACACTTCAGAAGTGGCGAAAAATATATATCTGATATGGGTCCTGGCCTTGTGTATGGCAAATTGGCTCAGCCCTCCTAACAGTTTTCAAAGTAAAAGCCCCCACCTTTAAATTTCGTGAAGAAGTGTTAAATTTGGGAGGCATTTCTAACATGTCCAGACTTCTGAAAAGTGAAGCCAATGAGTAAGGTGCCTTCAATTGTTCTTCTCTCTAATAGTCAGGAGAGGGCAACTCCTCTGGTCGCCAAAAAAGTATGAGAAAATGACCCTACTCGATGTATTACCTCAGTTAACATTTTAAACACGAGTTCATGGTCTCAATTGCAAGTTTCATGGCAGATGTGTGATTGTCCATGAAACAGAAAGATGTTGTAACTCGACTCTACATTGTCCAATCTGCCCCAAATGTCTTGTGCTTGATAAGAACCGAGACCTGAGAACATCTACATGCCCATATTGACTCACAGTCAGAGCGTCACCTCTTGGCAACAGGAAGTCAACCCCATGTGACAAATATCATCTGATTAACATAACATTTACTGTGTGTGGTCTACACATATGCAGCATCATAATGTATAATTAGTGTATCTTCTAGTGCCATGGAAATATTTGCAATGTTTAATATTATGTCCACGCTCTTCTTGTTCTCATTGGACATCAATGTATTTAGAATTAATTTTAGTAATTCCATTCATGTTTACAGTGAATTAGACCAAAAACAACACATCAAACCACACAGTTCTGACATTTTATACCGCAGTTCTCACAGGTTTTGGGAAGTTATCACATCCCACACATTTAAACCGGCTGAAATTCCCTCAAGCATTAGCCACAGTGAGTCTGTGCAGAAAATAAATGTAGTTTTATAAACTTTGTTCAGGAACAGGGCCACGCCCAGAACACAGCTCATTTCCTCTGTATTTAAGCACAACGAACCCGTTCACTTCCTCTTCGACTCTTGTCTTCACATCCCTCCCCCCCAACCCCATTTTGGTCCTCCTATATTTCTCTCTCCCTCTCTCTCTCTCTCCTCTCTCTCTCTCCTCTCTCTCTCGCAGGATTACAGGAACAACAGGGGACTCTGCACTGCCAGAGCTTCTGAAGAGACAAGCCCCACTCTACAGTCTCCGTTCCCGCCAGCCACCGGACATCAACGTTCCCCCTTCGATCGCCTAAACTCCTTCCTACAAACCCTCCTCTTCTTCTTCCTTACATCCCTTCATCTCTTCATCCCTACCCTTCATCCCTCTACCCTACATCCCTTCATTCCTCTACCCCTACCCCTACCCTACATCCCTCTACCTCGACCCCTACCCCTCATCCCTTCATCTCTTCATCCCTACCCCACATCCCATCATCCCTCTACCCTACTCCCTTTCATCCCTCTACCCTATATCTATTCATCCCTCGACCCCTTCCGCTTCTTGAATCTAACAATCAGTCCACTATGCAATGAACCTCTCTAAACTCATACTGTTATTGGTGTGGTCCTTGTTAGTGAATAAGTTTACAGCCTCTGGTGCTCTACATCTGCTGTGTGTCTGCTCGTCACTCCCTATCCTATAAACCTAAAAACACAAAACTCTCAACGCAGGATTGCTCTTCATGATACTAATATGAGGAGGTATCTTAATCTCTTAGTCCGTGCGTAGGAGTCACCTTAAACAACAATCCAATTCTCCCTGTTCACACTGGCCATGTTTTTGTGGGTGAATCACAGTCATTAAATGCTTCAGTTGAGTGTGTGGCAGGATCCTTCTCACACAATGCATCTGTCTGAGGGGCAAAGACAATTGAAATGTCAAGCACTCACTTTTACAGAGAACACAGTGAATGATGATTTCCTGTGTCTGTGTATGATAAATGTATTTCCTCTTGCCGGCCGGAGAGCTGGCTGGTGCATTGATGCTCAGGATTCAGTCTGTGAGGTGTACATGACCTTGTGGAAGGAGCTGCAGAGGGGAGGGCTGCAGCTCCTTCCAATTACCATAAGAATATGATGTTCCTGTAATGCACACATGCTGCAGTTTTCCTTATTTGCCAAATATACTTTTGCCTAGGAACATATAGGATTGCAGTCGGTGGATTAGATATAGGCTGCATTGCTTTGGAGCATATGTGACCTTGTTTATAGAGTTGACAAACAGCGGAAGATGGGATTATAAAATCTGCAAGAGGAATATAGTGATACATATTGTACATATTATTAATTATTGTACAAAACAATTTTACATTTCTGTTTATGTATGAAATTTTAAAAAAGACGTACAATGTCTTAATTAGTCAACGTTTGAGTAACATGTTGCCACATACAGTTGGGAGGTGTGTTTCTTCTACTTTCCACAGAGCCAGGCAAGCTGTTCCACCTGCTCCCAGTCTTTATGCTAAGCTAGGCTAAACATGCCCTGACTTCAGCGCAAATCTAAACCTGCATTAATTGATTCTTTAGCAGCAAAAAACAAACTGCAAACACACCACTGGAATATTATCATCTTTATGGGGAACCTTTTAGTAAACTGTTCCTTTTTTCACTTTGGCAATAAAAGATAAAGTTGATCAGTTTCTGCCCAGTCATGTATCGGGCCTCCTGATGAGTCCAATATGTATTCTCCTATTAGCTCTGTTTTGGTCTCCACCAACTTGCAATGGAAAAAAATAACTCTTGGCAGTTAAATGTTCCACTATGTTCACCGGCTACATGAGTTGTCTGGTAGTTTATTACTTATGGACCTTTATCCAGACATAAAGTCCCTGTTGCATCAGAGCACAAAGAAAGCCAATTAGTTTATTTCATGAAATATGTAATTACTTAGGTTATGTTTAGAAGAAGAGATAACATTACACATTACAAAGTGTTTATTAAATACCTTTATGCTAGATATTTGCTTGTGCTGCTGACTCACTCAAGGTTAGTTTCCTTCACATTAGGCTGGACAATTAAAAAAATCTGGTAAAATCAATAAATAGAGTATATTATGTCAACTGAAACCGGTTTGTCTGTTAATGTAGTGATGCAATGTACAGTAAGAAAACTGAACAGTTTTACCGAAGCCTCTTCCAGCTGGACTATGCTCTCCGTTCTATTCCTCACCTGAAATCATGTTAGCCTGCACCTTCAGGATATAGACGCTAAAAATAGACTCCTGAGAGCAGGCTTGCTGAACTGCTATTTTTATCATTCCCATTGTAATCTATTCATATTTTGTCTATTTAGCATTCCTCTCCATCCATTAACTACCTAATGAGGCAATGGAAAATCCTGTCACTGTGTTTCTGGAGAAACACTTCAAATTACATAAATCACTGGCACACCTCAGACTGGGACACATCACCTTCACAATCAGCCATGTCCTTGCCACCACACACAAACACACAGACCACACGTTGGTTCTGATGTGAGAACATTTAAACTGACGCATTATCTCCCTTTACCTTAACCATAGGAGCTACATGCCTAAAACCAAAGTCTTATCCTTAATATAACCTGCAACTGGGCCTGAAATCATAGCTATCCTAAATGTCCTCAAATGAATAGTAGTCTGTCAGGAATAGGTCCTCACAAGCACAGCCAGATCAAGCACACACACACACACACACACGGCGCTCGAGTCATGACAAGCTAAAAATAGCCATTATTACTGCAAATCAGTATTGCCAGAGCACTGTGTCACAACCTATGAATACAAAAGAGGACACAACATGTGAGGAATCTTTTATGGTGGAAACCCTCCGCAAGTGATTGTATTGATGAATTAATGCACAGAGCATTAAGTGAAGTGCTGTTTGTATTCCCATTTATCTTGTTGGTTGCATGTTTTGTCGCTGGTTATGTACAGTATTTTAATTAAGAAACAAACCTTTGGCGGAGGATTTTGCAAATTATATTTAGTTACATGTAAATATTTTTGCCATAAATGTACATATTATGTTATTCATTTTCTTTGAAGAACAGCATTTTAAGATTAGCCGTTCTATTGTGTTTTATGTTGCAGTGAAAAGACCCTGCTTTTAGCCTCCTCTGTCAAAAAGAAATAGTCTTTCCAACATTTGGTTTTGGAAGATATGAGAGACGCAAGAGTTTCTGCAGCGTGAGTCAGTCTTAACCCAAAGACAGCCAAATGTCTTAAAACACTGAGACACCACTCTCTGGTGAAGAGCTTTAGTAGCTGAGACAATGGCATAAACACAGCTTCACTTACTGCTCACAGTTAATTGTAAAAAAATCGATTCGGTTATTTTTTTATTCTGGGCTTTTACCCACAATAAATATGAATTGGTGCATTTCAAGGTAAATTCGTTACGGCTTAATAAGCAGATGTTGAAATATGTGGTTGTTTTATTTTCCTCTGGCATCTGTGGATTGCCCTGTTTTAAGAAAAGCCTTATTTTGATTCCACAGATCTAAAAAACACAGCCAAGATATGAAGGCACGAATCTGTGAGATTACTATAATCCAGAGAAGGTAGAAAATGTCAATATTCCACATACTTTAAAACGATGCTCACTAGTTCCAAGAGCCGGATAAGAGCACTCCCTGTGCTACCATGTACTTTAACACAGAACACAATGTTAACAACAACTGTTTTCACACACACTTCAAAGACAAGCATAGACAACACTATGTGTGTAATAATGCAGACGTAAACTGTGGTCATGAAAAGATTTCCTGTGTCAGGTGAGATTTTCTCACTCTCCCCTTTGGATATGGATCACTGTGGCTGAAACACAACCGGTTCAAACAGGATCTTAACTTTTAAGTCAAGCTAAGTCGAGCTATTTTGCCTTTATGACTTATACACAACTGTTTACATAAACAAATGACTGAATGGGCCGACAGGGCACAGGTCCAGGGCCCCAAGTGGTCATGGGGCCCTGGATCAGAGTCTCAGTATCAGGTGACACTTAACAGTTCTTGTTGGAAAGTCAATCAAAACATTCAAAACAACTACTATATGACTCAAAATGACTGCAAAAAGACAATAAACAACCACAAAAAGATGCAAAACAACCTCAATAAAATGCAAAAATATGCTAAACAACCACAAAAAAAACACAAAATGACTGCAACAAGATAAATATTTGGCCACAAAGAGATGCAAAATGACAAGAAAGATACACAAAATAACTACAAAGAGACACAAAACGACTGCAAAAAGATGAAAATGTCCAAAGAGGCAGGAAAACAAAATACAAACAGGGCAGCAAAGTTTGATTACTGAAAACTAATATAACAAATTGAGATCGTATCTGCAGACGAGAATAAGGATAGTGTCGTCTGACTGGTAAAATCGATGTCATACCTAGAAATGTAGTGTGTGTGATGTAAACTTCACTTCACCTCACAGTACCTGTATTGTCTTGTGTTGTCACTATCAACCTGTGGGGCACTCGAGGTGAGACCTTCAGCCCGGCATGTACCTGGTAGAACCTGTGGGAAAGGATACAAACATAACAGTCAGCCTAAAACTGCACTAAATTAATGCACATACTGATGTCTCCACATGGCCTGGGGGTATCAAGAAAATATACAATGTAAGTAGTAAACAGTGTTCTCCATCATGTCTTATACCATGGCAAGAGAAAGGGAAAAGGTTACTTGAGTCCAGTTTTCTAATACCAGGGTATTTACACTCAATGCTATTTAACAAATGTTGTACATTTCAGGTTGAAGATGAGTCACCTGCTGTGGGTGTATGAATTTCTCACTGATGAATTGAATGTGTGCCAGTGGGCTAGTGTTCCAGTAAATTCATTCTCAGGGTCGGAGGCTTGACTTAGAAAATGTTGAACTAGTAGTTCTTAAAATATTACACATTTAAACTTAAAGCCTATTTTCAGATATGCTTTTTTTGTTAAACAAACTGTTTCAAAACACGGACTTATGTCTTGGTGAAAAATCTATTTGTTGGCTCGTTCAAATGTAAAAAGTGTCATCTCTAGATGGAATACAGGATGCTCTGTATTAGTTTGTTGCACTTATTGTATTCGTATTAGTTTGTTTCTGCACTGTACTGTTGCTCTGGTTTATGCTCTTAGATGCTTGTTTAAAAAAGGAGATGCACATATGACTTCTGGTGACTAGCAGTTCTCTTGAATACTTATGTTGAATACACTTATTGTAAGTCGCTTTGGACAAAAGCGTCTGCTAAATGACTGTAATGTGATGTAATGTAAATGCTCTGTTTTATGTAAAACGTGCAGCTTTCAAGCGTCAGAAGTACTCGTCATGTCATGGACCAGAATTTAACAATGTCATGTTAAACAAAATCAGCCATGAATTGTACACATGTTGCTGAATTATTAAAGGATTACGGGCAAAATGGTTATTAATAATGGAAAAGACATAATAATGTACCTCTGTAAGGTATTGTATCAGATGTTGTTAGAATTCTACAGTACCAGCAAACACTTAACGATAAGACAAAAATGTATTGATCCCAGGAAATTATGTTATGACAGCTTCAAAAGTAATTTTATTCATAAGAAAAACAAATATCAGCACAGAGCAATGCAATGAAAAACAGAATAGAACGGTCTCACTGGCTTATGTAAGGATTATTTACATGTCAGACCAGGCAGCGATGGCAAACATGTCTTTGAAAAGGTCCCTTTGACAGTTTTAAGTCAAAGCAGCTTTGTGTAAAAGCACATCTCAGCTCTCCGGGGACACATTGGCAATCCGAGAGACCAGAGCGTGGCTGTGAACACAGTCATCACATCGGCGTGTTAGCGACAGCGCCCCTTAAGATGGAAGCTTGACAGAGAGGAGCACGGGAAAGGTTTTGAAGGTTGATTAATAAATAAATAAATAAATAAGGGGTGTTTATGGAACGAAATAGGTCAACTCAGTGGCCAGTAACTGGTCAGAAACTAATCCGCTACCTCTTACAGCGGAGGGTTTAGACTTGTGTGCTCAATGTTGAATCTTCAATAAACTACTGTATTATTTACTTTAGAAGAAACAGATCTCAGATACTCTTGGTATACATATATTTATATATATATAAATATAGATGTTGGAGGACAATCAAACCTTTACATTTTGTTTGCAAAATAAAGTTAAATAGAATAAGAAAATGCAGCTGGTTTCGTACTTCAAGTATCTGAAGCAATCAAAGTCTCTAACTGTGCCTCCATTAGTGAAAGCTGAAAGTGTCATTGGCTTCTTTTGAATCAAATTAAATCAGTTCTTTCAATGCAATCAGCGTACAACTGGGCCCATCAAAGTGTACAGCTGCATGGTTCCCCAGTCTGGTTTAGGAATTTTGTATTGATTTCAGTAATGACATTGATGCGTGGTGAGACGCACAGGTCACTAAACCATTCTTATTGCGCAGTGCTTCATCTTTACAAAGGGATCCAATTCTTTCTAGTGTCCACAGGTCTGTTTTCCAAATCCCATGCTTTTTCTTTTTACTTTCACTGACGCTGCATACAGCTGAGATAGTAAATACTGTTGCATGCAGTATTCTATTAAGACAAACCATGTTGTGATAAGATTGCACACCTTAAACCTTTGACCCTGTTGGTTATATATCAGCTGCACAGAGGATTGTGGGTCGGAGGAGCCAGAACAGTATGCTGGCTTACATACCGTAAAATGGGAACGGATGCAGTGGGACATCCAGGTATTTTTGGCATACTGGAGTCGACATACTACATGGGGACATAATAAATATTTTTCTGGTATACTTAATGGTACGGCAACTGGTAAAAACAAAGCTATTAGTGCACTCAGCTGAAGGGATTACCATGATTAAGCTTTAGCCCAACCCTTCTGGAAAATCATTTTTGATAAAGCTGGCATCCGATGAGAGGTTTTAATCTTCCTGCAGAAGCATCAGCAGGATAAACATTGCCCTTTTTATAGTTAGAGAATATTGGAAAAAAACTCGACTGAAAAAGTACACATTTTAATTGTACTTATTTTATTTACACGTATTATTCATATTCTCATTGGTAGAGCTCATTAGATTTGGATTTGTTGTTTCTGTGTTGTAATTTTAATGTTTTTTTATTACCATCCTCAGGTGATTTTTGCCTTTTTTTTTTGCCTTTTGCCTACAAAAGCAGATGGAAAAGTTGTAATGACTCCAGTTTTGGGGGCTGATTATTTTACCCCAAATAATAATTAAAACCTGCATTGTGAGGAAAGTGCAGATGCTCCAATGATGTTCAGGTTGTGTGAAGAAAACACACAACAGAGTAACAGAGTGTGTTCCTTTAGATAATTTGTTTATAAAATATATATCTATATTTTATAGAGATTAAATGTAGGATGTCTCTCTTTTTCTTGGTGTCGTCTACTATTGTGTTTTTTTTTCATTTCTCTATCATGATTGAATTTAGCTGCTGTCTCATGTGGAGTAACAAACAAATGGTTCACAGACAAACTGAATTAACAAGATCTGATTTTATACAAATTGCTATTTTTATTTATTACAGATAATAGCTAAGAAACTTTTAGCAAGTCATTTAGCTTTAGCTAACACAGGTCTATCTCACATTTCCCCTGCTAGCTTTAACTACAGTTGTCTGTTAATGCAAAATGTATGCTACATGCCATTTTTACAGAAATCATACATTTTGATGGTATAATATTTGTATATGGTCAGGTAGATTCCAAAAAAGATGATTCTTGTCCCAACTCAATGTTGACCAAATATACTGTGTTTTGCCTTTTACAGTAGGTTAATCTGTTGTCTGCATGTTAATGACAGGCACATTCAACCCATGCTGATTTGTAAACCCACATCTCATTAAACCCCATGGTGTCCTGACATACATTTGCAGGGGATTATGGGTACTTCTCAGAAATGTCTGACAACATCCAGCTCGGATAAAAGTTGTTTAATTTGTTTTTTCTTTTTTCAGTGGAGTGAGACAATTTTACAGAGTAGACTTTGGTAGACTGGTACGTCACTTTAATTTACTGAATAAATGATATTGTATCATTTCAAGATGTGGCATATTTTCACGAGTATTAACCCATCGTTTTTTATGAATTCCACTCATGGCTGTGGGAGCAAACAGTCACTGTGAAACCATTGTACTGAACTACTTACATTATTACAAATTGAAGTTCTGAATTAAGTAGAACAAATTAAAAGAATAAAACATGTTTAAAAAATAGATGGATATATAAAATGTGTCCTTTGTCAGCATTCAGCACTAATATGCTCTGTGAGTTTGCCGAGTTGGCAGCGGAGAAGCCGGGTAATTTAATAAACAAATATCATGACTCTGGAAAAAATAAAATAGCTTACCCCCTTTGAAAGAGATCCACATTGTGAAACTTGTGCAACTCTACAGAAAACTCCAGTGTTCCCTGTACTTCAGACATGATATAATCCCACTCATCACCTGTCAAAAGAGAAGAAACACAATAAGCATAAGACAGAAACCACAGTGGAAGATGAGACACATGATGACATCTCTAAATCTAGCTCACAGTGTTCCTTTCTGTTTGCTGAGGTGATGTGACTCACACAGTCCAGTGTGAAGAACGGACTCATACACTCTCAAGACAGACACCTTCTGAATATTATCACCATCACCGTTAAACGTTTGAAATAATTAAATCATAGGGTGATGCAGGTGCAGCTGCTCTTTTTGTTGTATCTGTCCTAATAAGGGATGATTTGAGGTCAGCTGCTATTACTGTCAATGTCAGCCCTTAGGTACATTGTTTATTATTACCTGTATAATTAGGATTATGACTATGCACTGAATAGTTCTGCTGCTTCAATATATTTCCCTTTTATCAGATATCAAATACCTGCAAAAGTGCCGATGATGTGTAATCTGCTTGTACATTTAAACTATCATGTACACACAATACCTCTAATGCATCAGACCCTTGATGTTGTTCAAGGAAACTCCTGTTACACAGGTACCTACATCTAAACACATGACAACGAACTAAACAGCTGAAGAAGGCACACATACAGTTCTTATTAGCCCTTATGATTAAGGGTTCACCTTAGAGTTTCATTCATTTAGCAATGACTGAAATGACTTAATTTCAGGGCCTAAGATATACAGGCTTGAATAAAAGTAAAAGTTTAATTATTTAGCTCATTGAGATAACTGCAGGTGAATACCCTATACCTCTAATGCATCAGACCATTGAACATGGTCTTAAAGAACCTGATCAACATATCCCAGGCAATTAACACCCAAGTGAGCGATGTTTTCCATTAGCAGCTCAGTGAATCCACAGCACGTCCAAACATGACCCGTCCACATTCGGTGAAAACAAAGACGTGGACTCTGCAGCCTTCAGAGAAAGTACAGTGGAAACTGAGACGCAGTACAGACTGAGCTGTCACCAAACAAAAGAAGATGAAACACTGACACGCTTTTCAGTGAAGTGTCTCAAATAACCGCTCATTGAAACACAATCCCCACCATGTGTGCTGTACTGAGGTAGTGTTTCCGTAATTGTTGAGAGTCATCTCGAGAGAGGACGGTGCACACATTGCTGTGAAACACCTTTTTGAAGTGCAACTTCACTTGTGCATTGCGACCAGTCATCAGCTCAGCAGGCTAAAAGAACAATACTGTTTCAGTCCACTTTCTTTAAGCCGTGAAGACGTATCTAGACAGGCTGATGGTATTTCACCTGAGCTCAGACACTGGGGTATTGTGAGAAGTTAATTTGCTGCTACTAAAATGCAAGAGTTACTGCTAATTATAGTTAAATCCAGTTTGCAGATATTATGTAAGTAGGCCCACCACCAGTCTTCCAACTGTGGCCTTTAGCTAGCTAGCTGATTAAGGTAACATGAGTGCCATTAATTTGTCGAAGAACAATGTCTCCGGGTGACCTTTCAATGTTTTCAGCTAACTCAATTTAAAACAAGAATCCTGTAAAAGGAGTGTCTATTGTTTTTAACAGCTACATATGACATTGTGTTTAAAAACTGAGGCTAAAGCCACAAGTTCTAGGCAAAATGTCAGCATCCTTGAAAGTGCATTATTTAGCACACAGGAATAAAGAAACAGCATTGTTCTTGCATTGCAATGTAAAGTTGGCCTTTATTTTAAAGGAATAAGAGTCACATTTTTCCTCACATAGTCATAACACTAAGTAACTGTTTAGCTTCCTCGCTTACAACTTCACTCAAACATTAAAAGAGCAGAGTCTGGTGTTCGTGTCGCAAAATGTTTTTTAGTTCTTTTAAAATCACGTTTATGATGTGTTTACATATTTGTCTTGGTTTCTGTACTTATTTTAAGCCCAACCATGATGTTCTTCCTAAACCTAACTTTGTGGTTTTGTTGCCTTAATGTTGAATTCTTGCTGTGGTGACAAATTACGTGCCACCACCAATTAAATGCGCTGTTAAGAGGTCATGGTCATTTCCCATATATCTGTGAGAGCAGGTTGTACATTCGTGAGAATTTGTTCAAATCTAAATCGTGCTGTTTATTGAGTTTCTTTAGTTGAGGCCCCTACACCTCATGCATGTACAAAAACTGGGATAAGAGTGTAGACCCCACCATTTCTGTTGAATTGCTGTGTTGCACCTGAGATGAGTTACCGGTAGCACCCCTGGGCACTCCTCGGTGTAGTCTGCCTCCCCACCAGTTGCCTCAAATGATATCCCACCGTTTTGCTTAGTTTATGTTGGAGAGGATATTTTAAAATATTAAAGATTGTGATGTAGTTTTAGAGATTCATGTCAGCCCTTTTTAGCTTGTAGTAACATATTATCTTTAATCCCTTATTGGTTTCAGTCATTTTCATTGACTCCTGTCACTGCAAGTTTGATTATTATTGATTCCTTAAATTAAACCATTTTACAAAACACATGTCTCCTATCGGTCACGGATCTGTGTGCCTTATCAATTCTCAAAACAATATATTGCGGTTCTTAAGCTTATATTTCCTGGGGTGTAATTCCCCAGGGGGCATTGTTGGTTCCCTCTCATTTTCCCCTTGAGCAACACAACGCAATGCCATCTTCAAATGCCAAGCAGCCTACTCCTCTTACCAGCCAACAGCACACAGCTGATCGAGGAAGAATCAATTGTTTGTGTCTCAAATGTTTAATTTTGCAACTACAACTGTTTATTTTGCTCTGAATCAGTTGTGTCAAGTGAAGGATTGGATTTCTTTTCACAAAGGGTGTTAGTCATTTTTCTGTCTGAGCTTTATTTGCCACGTACTGTGAGCAGAGAAATGTATTCCAGTGTGTCTTTCCAGCACCACAATTTAATTTGTGCGTCAAAGGTGTCCTCTCAGTTGGCAGTGAAACACTCTCCTCCACCTTGATGACCCAAGATGTATGATGAGAATCTTGCCAAGAAGGGCCAGTAAATCTTCATCTGCCTTCCAAAACCAGCAGTGGAGAGGAGAATAAAAAGGTGACGCATGAACAAAAAAAAAAACAAGCAGTGAAGCAGTCTTGAGAAACGGTTACCTACTCTAACGTAGCACGTTAGCGAGCCACTGCTACAAAAAGCCTGAAGAGACTAGAAATTAAACTTTTTTTTGCCCCTTCTTGCTGACTCTGCATGTCTTGTCACATTGACACACTTGCAGCTCAAGAGGGTTCAGTCTCTGTGTGTCAGGTTGACCACAGATGACGGCCATCGCCATAATGCCGTGAGCCAATTGCAAGTGATTTGATGTGAGATGGGGAGACACTGGAGTATGTACAGCTTGTGATTTCTTCAGCATTGATTAAGCTAGCCGAAGCTGCATCACTGCTTCCCTAATGCTCTGGGTTGCAATCCAACGTCTTATCTGTTATCTGCTGTCTCGGAGGTTAAAAAAAAAAAAGAGCTGCTAGCCGCTCCTGTGATGTGTTAGGTAGGCAGTAAGGAGGAGAATGAACACTGTGTATTTCATTAAGTGGAGGCTCACAGTCAGGGGAGTTGGAACTTAATATACTTTCGTTCGCACCAAAACAATCTACAGTATAAGGCTCGAGCACACAGGCACTGTACACATCAATAAGTTAATCAAATCAGCGAGAAAAGGATCAAAACACCCATGCTGACAGCTTCAAAGGCATACAGCTGTCGTACATCTACGTAGGATTTACTGTTTCCATTAACGACAATGATGATCATGATAATGACAAAACTTGTCAACTGTAGCATAAGACAATGTCTTTAAAGGGCATTTTCATATTGTCAATAAATCCCATAAAAAGACCGAAACTGAATTTGTTCCTCTCTATTTAAGGCCTGTCTGTAGCACTACAGCTAATTCTTTCCTTCTAAAGATGCACAGTAATATTTACTTAAATGACTCCTTTTCTAGGCTTGGGGTTTCTCAAACAACACTTGTTAGTGAGAAATTCTTTGTCGGTTCATTACATTTGACAGAGAAAAATAATCTAGATTATCGGCAGCATTTTTCAGGCTGCATTTTACGAATGAAAACCTTTTTTTGGCTGATACCAGCAGGCCTATTTTTAGACTGTTTCATCCAGGTCCCAATTTTTTCCCCATCAGGATTTTGCAGGGCTTTGAAACTTCGACCTTTTATGTTGTTCTATACTGTAGACTCTATAGTATAAAGCCATACAATGTGAAATTACATGTTATTTCTTGTTAATTTCCTTGTAATGTAGGATATTTCTTGGAAAAAACAATTGAATCAATTAAATGGTGAATAGAGATGGAGTGTTTAGTTAGTTGTTGATTTTATAATAAATTGTTAATTTTTTAGAGAATTTGAACAGCTATGAATCCAAAAAGATTGTTTTTGTTTCCTTCTTTTTCTGTTTCCTTCTTTTTAAATGTATAATACTTTTTATGGTTTAAGCAATATTTCAATGTGTACCGTTCTCTAGAGTAGTATCATTGCTATAGTGGCCTTTCCCTTGGGTTATAATGACATGTTTACCTGTAACTGTTCGTTTGGGTGCGCTGTAAACACATACATCCGTTGCTCTTATGTATATCTGATAAAGTAGCTGTTCAATGATTCTGGAACCTGTAGTATTAAACTCCACTTGACGATGCCACCCCAAACTACAGGTAAAATAGTTGTTAATCTGAAATCTTAAAGACTTTAAATGAACTATAAAGGTGTTGAATACGAGATTGGGTCCATTGCTGTTGCCTCTCAACATGACGACTGCTGAGCCGACAGCCTGCAGCTAACGATGCTCACAGCGCTATCAGTGTAGACACGATGTTTAACTGAGGGAGGAATCAGAGGGTGGGTGCGGCGCGACGACGCTGTCAATGCTGACAACAGCCATATGAGCGTAAGGAAGACTGGCGGCTGTGGGCTGTGGGCAGTGGGGCTGCTCAGGTAGACATTACTCCACTTTATCTTTACATACCATGTAGTTGTTTGATGCTGTATTAATCCTCTGGGTATTGAATGTAGCACCCTTTTAAGTCTATTATCTATTTAAATATAGCGGTTACTGGCCTGTTTCTGACATTTTAGCTGGTTGACTCATTTTCTCAGGCTGTAGTTGGCATGAAAGACTGCTGAACAATCGGAGTTGAATAGAAAACATACTAAACATGTGCTTGTTAACACTTTTAATCAATCAATTGATCAATACAAGTCATTGTCCTACAATACCAATGGTTTAACTAACTAGGGATTTCTGGAGGCCGTTCACCTTTCAATTGTTTTACAAATCCCAGTTAAAATGCATGTTGTGCTCAGTTAGCTGGACAATGCTGCCGTCCCCCACACAGACGACCCGTAGCTGAGGCAATTCTCAGAAGTTGCTGCTTTTGCATTTTCACAAACTCTCTCGTTCTGATTTTCTCCTTGCAGCAAATCATTAAACACTAATCATTACAAACTGGCCATCTGCTGTCTGATTACTATTTAATGCAGACCACAAACATGCACACATATGCACATGCTGGCTTACTTGGAGAGCTGGAGTTTGCAGTAAATCTTCATCCTTTTAGAAAAAGTAAAACTCCTGGCTGCCCTTAAACTGCCCTCCTCTTCCCACCACACCTGGTGGTGTCAGCTCAGTTGGGAACGCTGACTGACATCTCCAATCTCAATTTGGGGAAAATATAGAGGCAACACGTTCATAGTGACTGAATGTGGAATGAGCAGATTTTGCAGGCTACGTAGGAGTGTGATTGTAACACAGTCATTGTGTGCCTTGACTGGGAGCTGCTGTATGTGTGCACAGCTCAAAGGGCCGGAAATTAATCTCCGGCATTGTTCCATTCATTAACGTCTAACTCTCTCTGCAGAGCACAATGACAGAAACGGGGCTATCACCAAATGAAGGCACATGTGACAGAGGGCCAATGGGGTGCAGCACCTCCTTAGCAATGAAATAAAAATAATGAATGCGTGTTGAATTTCTGTCCAGGTTTTGAAGTATTTTGAGGATATTAACAAACCAAAGTTACTGTAACAATGTTTTATAACTGTCTGATTTTTTTTTTTAAGGAATAGCAATCTGCACACTGGAAATGTGGAGTGCCCTGCAGGAAATTACTGAGCCAGCAATCATGTGAGAGAATAATCCAGCATTTGCTTAAACCCTCCGTGATGCTGTATTAGGCTCTTTGTTTTCGAAATGACATAGCCAAAGCCCTGCAAAGGCAGACCAAAAAGAAACCAAGTGGAATTATCAAGTTAAATGAGTCAGAGTATGACTTTGAGAGGATGTGACCGGCATTCTTGCTATCTCCAAATGAGATTCTGTTATGATCAAAGAGCTGTTCTGCGAAAAAAGAAGAAGAAGAAGGGGCGTAGATAAAGTAACCAACTGGAAATCCTACATCCACTATCTTAGAATTCCTTTGTAGTGTTTGGGGAGCTGTGGAGCATGCAATCTGCAATCCAGACCATAAGCAGTCTCTCTATTTCTATTCGATAGGTGCTGATCACTATGTGTATGTGTTTGTTATAGAAATGTGAAAAAGTAGGAAGGGGGACTACTTTGGTTAACTGCTTTGAAATGACCCAGTCTAGCACTTGTACATGGTCTTGTGGGTTTCTGCTCCAGTGAAATGTTTACATCAGTAACGCAAGGGCCTGAAGTCGATCTTTATTACGGTATGAACAACCTTATTAACTGTGATCTTTTCAACACGTCGTTGTTTACTTCTACTCGTGTGTTGGCAGCGTGCTGGGACAACTCTGCATTGTTTCATGTTGAAGTGGGAGCCTTGCTTTGTTCATTTCAGACAGCGTGTGGGACCATTTCAGACTACAGCATCTGTGAACTGCTGATAATAAACGGCACGTACTGTACTGTGTAGCAGCGTTGCCAAACGTCCTCGCTTGAGCAGAACTGCAAAAGCACACGTTTGCCAGCGTAGTTTGTCAATCTAAATTCAACAATACTGCTTTCATTTAGATCATTCTGAGCACGAGGATGCTTGAATAAGTATTTTTTTATTTATACCTTTATTTTGAAAGGCTACTTTGATTTAAATTGTTCTTTTTGCTCTATTTACTGATCAGTGTGGAGTGTTATTTATATTTATTCAAGGACACAGCCTTCAATGTGTCAGACAAAGACCCTTAGCTGCCATATAGAAGTATAAAGTATAAAAAATCCATCCCAATTCAGCCTGTCAGCACTCTAACCAACCAGCAGCATATAGCAGCTTTCTCTACTGTAATGCAAAACAACGAGCTCCTCTCATGTTCCACACACATTCAGACAACAGGCACATGTAGATGAAACAGCCTCACCTTAGCAGTGATGAAGCGTAATATCCGCAGAGGGTTTCGGGTCCAGCCTTGACTGAGTGATCCGCTGTTTGCGGAGGGATGCGCGCGGTTTGCAATGTTTATATCACCGCTTCCACTGCTGCTGCTGCTGTTGCCATGGTTATTCATCCAGAGCCTGTATGTTCTGCAGTCCCCTCTCGCTTCCTCCCTCCTTCCCTCTCTCTCTCTCTCTCTCTCTCTCTCTCTCTCTCTCTCTCTCTCTCAATTCCCTCCCAACGTCTAACAGAAATTTCAATTTGGGAAAGTGCGGCAGCGTCTGTCGCGGAATCTGCCTTTGTGTTTATCCCCCCGGTCTGCCCCTGCGTTTTGCAGACAATGCGTAGGGTAGTTTAATAAAGCCAAGCGAATATTAATACTCAGCAGCCAGTCGGTGTGTGTGTGTGTGTGTGTGTGTGTGTCCTGCTACTGCACTATAGCATACGTCCAGAGAGCGAGCTGACGTCACAGTCTGCCCCTTTAAAAGCTTAAGTGAACCGTGCTGTCAGGAATTAACATGCTGAGAAACAAAGGATGAGTGTTGTGCAAAAACACAACAACAACAACATACATTTAATATAAAGCATGCGGGTGTCATGCTTGGCAGGTTAGTAGAAGTAAATTAAACTTTCTCTGCAGAGAAAAAAATCAATATTAGTAAGCAACTAAATAACTGACCCCTTTTTTATCATGTTTTTTATAATTGGTTTATAGATGACCAACAGAAAACAAGCTCATTTCTGAGTTCCCAGCTTCAAAGTGTAGTAGCTGATATACAATTATTATGGCAACAATGGAACATTGGAACTCCATCTGATTTTGCAAGTTACACTAAATGTAAATATCTACAAAATTACTAATATAGAATCAATGGCCTACCAGTGAAACTTTAAATCCGAAATGGCCTTGAAGTGGGCAACTGTCCTCGTAGCAGCGCTCCAGCGACCTTAAAAGCTCCAGACTTCTGTGTGTAAACTGGTTTGTACAAATTTTAAGCCATCTTGCGATGGGATCAGGCCAGGGGTGTAACGTGGGAGGGGCAATGACCCGTGAAATATTCTTTAGCTGTTTAGCAGCTAGTTATGTTTACCAGATAACGTCTTTTGGTGCTGGGTAGTTGGTATACTGGGTTTCTCTGAGCTTTTTCGCAGAAATTAGCTGCTAGAAACAATGAGAGCAGAGAGACTGAACCTGAACAGTAAAGTTGCCGGCCATAACACCAAAACAATCAGCTGAAAGAAGTTAAAGCGATCTGTAAAGCCGAAGGGATCTACAGAGTCAGCTGACAATTCTTTGTGAGTTTGTCACGACGAGCGACACCTTTCACATTGCACACGCATTTATTCCATCATCGAAATACAATCATTGAGTATTGCAGCTTCAATGTGCGCCCTGCTTTATCCCAACTCCATGTCTTAAAAAAATGGTGTCAGTGTCAAATCTAGTTTCAAGACTGAGATCATGAATTCATATCGTGCTTATTTGTTGCATAATCTTAAATAATAGTGTTTAATCAATTCACCAAACTGCAAGTCTGGGGCCAGGTAGTATTCCAGTATATAAATTGTACATGTTGCACAGGGAAGACAAGGAGTTAATAGGGGCCTTTTCGCCCAAGGGCCCTTTGGCAAGTTAATTTGACCATGCCAAAAGTGCAGTGAAATCTGCTGGTATGTTGCCCATGGTGAAAATGTATTTTTAGTAATATAGGATGAAGTCAACTATTTATTTTCTTGCAGACATTTAAAGGTAAATGTGCACAAAAGAGCTCTAGAGAAAGTGAATTGCATGCCAACTGAACAGTTACAGAGTTTTATAAACACTGTACAGAGTGTGTAAGTCAGGAGCTAGTGGAAACTGTAAAAAACTAATCTTTAATTTGAAGAATCCCTTTTTGTTTCCCCATTTCAAGGATCTAAGGAGTGAAACTGGTATCTGATTTTATTATTCTTGGAGAAAACCGCATGTGAGCAAAGTTACAAAGGATAGACGACCACTAACCAGCGCTTTCTCGTTTGTTCCGGATAATCAGGTACTGCAATGAAAATGCCATCTGTCCTGGTTAAACAACTTTAAGATAAGGGGGAGGGGAGGATTATGTAACTGCAAATTAATAAAAATGTCCATTGCGCATAAGCTGTTGGTGACTGTGTGTTTGACAGTTGTCAACAATAGGAAATTACTTTTCTCTATTGTTTTCTTTGGGTGTTTTGTGTCTCTTATGCCCAAAGTGAAGCCATGCAGCATGGCTGTTACCCCTCTTCTATTCCCAGCTTCACCGTCCTCTTTAAAAAAAATAAAAACCCAAAGTCAATTGCTGCTTTTCTCTCATGGCGTTCTGCCATAAGCTCCAAGCACTCTTGATTAAGAGAGAGGCGCTATCGATTTTTTTTATTTTTTTTGTTTTCGACCGTTGTCAGAGCCCAGATTACCATAGTCTGGGAATTTCAGAAAGGTTACACATCAAGGACTCTCATTTGTAAACAGTCCAATATATGATTATTTCTGGTTTACTAAAGGAAGACCACAGAGGATAACAGTGATTGCTTTGATTATACTCGATTATAGTGGAATTTTGCTTTTAATTTGATTTGGCAGAAAAGTGCCTTTCGGTGATGTAATGGAAAGAGTGGATGATCAAGCACACCAACCTTATCCTTAACTCAGTTAATTTAGTCAACTATGACAACGTAATGTAGTATATAGGCGGGTGACAAATACCAGAAAACCCTGAGGAAATGAATGCAGTTGCTTCCATGCAGGGCACTGAATGGTTTGATAGCGAACTTTCTCTCCTCTGTCCTGATTCTCCTGGACCTGTCTGTGGCATTTGACACGGTGAACCACCAGATCCTCCTCTCCACCCTCGAGGGGATGGGCGTCTCAGGCTGTGCACTCTCCTTGTTTGCATCATACCTGACAGGTCGATCCTACCAGGTGACATGGAGGGGGGCCGTGTCAGAACCACGCATGCTGACGGGGGTTCCACAAGGTTCAGTTCTGGGCCCCCTTCTCTTCTCCCTCTACACATCTCTGGGTTCTGTTATTCGCTCGCATAACTTCTCTTACCATGGTTATGCTGACGACACCCAGCTGATCTTGTCATTTCCCCCCGGTGACACTCAAGTGGAGGCAAGCATCGTTGCGTGCTTGGCTGACATCTCAAAATGGATGGCGACACACCACCTGAAGCTGAACCTGGACAAAACCGAGCTACTGTTCCTCCCGGGGAAGGGTTGCCCACACCGAGACCTGTCCATCACCATTGATGACACCGTGGTGACGCCAACTCGGACAGCGAGGAATCTGGGTGTGACCCTGGATGACCAACTGTCGTTCTCAGCAAACATTGCATCGGTTACACGCTCCTGCAGATTCCTGCTCTACAACATCAGGAAGATTCGCCCCTTCCTCACTGACGAGACGGCGCAGGTACTCATCCAGGCTCTTGTCATCTCCCGCCTGGACTACTGCAACTCACTACTTGCTGGAGCCCCGGCGTGTCGGCCATCAGACCTCTGGAGCTTGTCCAGAAAGCTGCAACTCGTCTGGTGTTCAATCGCCCCAAGTTCTCCCACACAACTTCCCTTCTCCGTTCTCTACACTGGCTACCTGTAAGAGCTCGCATCCAGTTTAAGACTCTGGTGCTAGCCTACAGGGCAGTGAAAGGAACAGCTCCTTCCTATCTCCAGACCATGGTCAAGCTCTACACCCCTGCCCGACCACTTCGCTCTGCTGCCTCGGGGCGATTGGTTGCCCCGTCCCCCAGAGGTCCCTGTGGCCAATCGACCTGGTCGCAGCTGTTTTCTGTCCTGGCCCCACAGTGGTGGAATGAACTCCCCACTGATGTCAGGACAGCAGAGTCGCTGCCCATCTTTCGGCGCAGGCTGAAAACTCATCTCTTCGAGAAGTACTACCCAGAGCCTTCCATTTAGCACTTATTGTATTGTATTAGCATTTATTGTATCCGTATTAGTTTGTTGCACTTATTGTATTTGTATTAGTTTGTTTCTGCACTGTACTTTTGCTCTGGTTTTTGCTCTACTTTATGCTCTTAGATGCTTGTGTAAACAAGGAGATGCACTCATGACCTTTTACCAGGTGCAAAGGTATCAAATCCACATCGCCTAAAGTGGACCACAGCTTGATATTGTGGCTCTGTAAACATAACACTCTTGTTTTTACATTTCCACAGCAGAATCAAGCCTGTCTTCTGACTGGAGGGCCTTTAGCCCTCCAGTCAGCAGTGTGAGAGTCATGGGGTCTGCCACGTGGATGGATAATCACATCTCTTTCCCTCTGCCCGCACTGTCTTTGTCTGCTCTCTCATGGAGAGCATGAGCTCTCAATTATTCGGACCGGAGACATGATCTCTCTGAAGAGGCCCAGTCACTGTATCATGTTTCCCTTACATCTCTCTCAGACAACCATCGTGGTGGAGCTACGAAAACAATCAATTAATGCAATGTGATACTGTAACAAATGTTTCATACTTAACCTTTTTATATTATTGGTTGTAGTAAATTGCTGAGTATCAGATGACTGTGAGGTTATTGATCCAAACTGTTAGGATCAATAAACCAATTATTCAAGATATACACACAGGAAAACAGTTTTTGGAATAAAGACATTGGAGAAATACTTAAGTTTTACGCTGTGGCATGCACCCTCATACAAGTTAGTCCAAGTCAAAGTGGTCTTTATGCTCCTGGACAGCAGTGGTTATCACTTTTTTTAGATTACAATTACCTTTCCTTTAAAGCAGGTGTTACAAAAATCTGTAGCACATTCATGCTTTTAAAGCACAAATGATATTTACTTCAGAGAGTTCCGTACCCTCAGGCAAATTGGTTCCTGTCAGATCAAAAACGTTGTGTACCATCAGAGCTGAGAAATCTTTTTGGTGTGAGACAGTCATACCTGTAAGAAATGTCAAATTTCTTACAGGTAAGAAATGACTTAAATAAAGTCGTAGCAATGAAGAATGCCACAGTGTATTTTCCTATTTGGGTTAATGTGATATTCCCGCAATAAATCAGCCCGTCCCGGCTCCTTTTTGGGCTCTCAGATCTTCTAAAGTGCAGCAAAAAAATCACAGATCAAACACCATAGAATCAATTACATAACATACAGGATACAACCAGCATGTCTGCCTGAAGCCCTTCTGTTTATAACAAGGCTTTCCTCATGTCGACACTGCAGGCTAACATGCATTCTTCACCTGTACTGATGAGTACACACGATTATGAAATCCACATTTCATCACGCGCTGGCTGCTTCTTCCCTATCGTGACGATAATTATTAAGATAATTGCATACAGGCATACGTGTCATTAGGAGGCACCGTAAAGAAAGGAAGCAGGGAAGGGGGGTTACACATAGAGGCCCGTGGGCTTCTCCATCTTTTTTAAGTGTTGGTAATAAAATGTAGCCACCACCCCCTGAAGAACTCCTGGCCAATGGGAACCCATTGAACTAACTTTTATGTGTCCTCAGAAAATGCTTGAGCTTCCCCTGCACCAATTCTCTCCGTCAGTCCTTAACATGCGCAGGTAGAACAGACTCCTGGGATTTCAT